AGGATAAGTTATCGTAAAACATTTTTTTCTATAAGAGAAAACTCTTCGTTTTTTTCTACATCTGTAAAGTAATTCTTGGTAGAAATGTATTTGTTAAAAGGTTTTGTAAACTTTTTAGTTTTTTTTTCCAGCAGCTGCTGTCCAGACCAGGATTCGGCCCTGGGTTGTTGCGGCCACAACGCAGTGTCCTAACCACTAGACGATCTGGAAAAATGTTACTGCAAAACAATCGATTTTAGATATTTTCTAGATTCAGGTGCTTTTGGAGTTTTGGAACTCTTTCTAGACAGACTTTTGTGGATTTTTGCTTAACAAATTTGATTTCGGTTTAGTTCAGCTCTGCAAAAATTTACTGTTCTTTTAGCGTTTTCCGTAATCATTAATCAAGGTTATCTGGCATCTGATGATTTTTTGAATAACTTCTTTGATTGATTTTCAATAAGCTGAAATGTTAAGGACTAGTTTTTGCAGAGCAATATTTTCCTAAAAGAGGAAACTGTTTTATATTTACTTCTGTAAATATTGTTTTGCTCAATTGTCTCTGGAATGAGGTTTTTTAAAGTTTTTAGTTTTTCCAGCGGCTGCCGTCCAGACCAGGATTCCAGCCCGGGTTGTAGCGGTCACAACGCAATGTCCTAATCACTAGACGATCTGGACCAATTGTATTGCAAAAAAATTGACTTAAGACCTTTTCTAAGCTGAGGTGCTTTTGACGACTTGTAACGCTTTTTAGACAGACTTTTATCGATTTTTGCTTTCCAAGTTTGTTTTTAGTTTACTTCAGCTCTGCAACATTTTCTCGTGTTTTAGCGTTTTTTTTTTCATTCCTTAATCAGATTTTTGGCGTCTCATGATTTTCTTTAAAACTTTTTTGATTGTTTTCGAATAAGCTGAAATGTTAAGGACTAATTTTTGCAGAGTAATTTTTTCCTAAAAGAGGAAACTGTTTTATATTTACTTCTGTAAATATTGTTTTGTTTAATTGTCTCTGGAATGAGGTTTTGTAATTTTTGTAGTTTTTTTCCCAACAGCTGCTGTCCAGACCAGGATTTGACTCTGGGTTCTTTCGGATACAATGCATTGTCATAACCACTAGATGATTTGAACCAACTGTACTGCATCGCAGTCGATTTCCAGATATTTTCCATTTTTTTTAGAATATGGTGCTTTTGGTGACTTATAACGCTTTCTAGACAGTGTTTTGTTGATTAAGGCTTGACAAATTTGTTTCCTAGTTTCTTCCGCTTTGCAAATTTTTCTGTTTTTAGCATGTTCTGCTGCATACTCTATAGTACTACACGACATGGACCAATTGCAAATGATTAGAATCAATTTTGGCATCAATCTTAAATCGGAATTATTTGACGTCCTATGATTCTTTTAAACATTTATTTGATTGATTTCTGATGAGCTAAAAAGCTCAGGATAAGTTATTGTAAAATTATTTTTTTTCTAAAAGAGAAAACTCTTCATTTTTTCTACATCTGTAAAGTAATTCTTGGTAGAAACGTATCTGATAAAAGTGTTGTAAACTTTTTAGTTTTTTTTCCAGCAGCTGCCGTCCTGACCAGGATTCGACCCTGGCTTATTGCGGCCACAATGCAATGTCCTAACCTCTAGACGATCTGGAAAGCTTAAAGTACAAAACAATCGATTTTAGATCTTTTCTAGATCAGGTGCTTTTAGCTACTTGTATTTCTTTCTAGACTTGTATTTCTTCCGAGTCTTTTGTGGGTTTATGCTTAGCAAATTCGTTTTTATTTTACTTCAAATCTGATTTTTTGGCGTCTAATGATTTTTCTTAAAATTTTTTTTGATTGATTTCCAATAAGCTGAAATGTTAAGGACTTGTTTTTGCAGATCAATAAGAGGAAACTGTGTTATATTTACTTCTGTAAATCTTGTTTTGGTTAATTGTTTCTGGAAAGAGGTTTTTTGAAAGTTTTAGTTTTTCCAGCGGCTGCGTCCAGGCCAGGAATCCAGCCGGGGTTGTAGTGGTCCCAACGCAATGTCCTAACCACTAGACGATCTTGACCAATTGTATATCAAAACCATCGATCTTAGGTGACTTGTAACTCTTTTTAGACAGACTTTTGTCGATTTTTGCTTTCCAAGTTTGGTTTTAGTTTACTTCAGCTCTGAAAATTTTTCTCGTGTTTCAGCGTTTTTGCCAATCGTTAATCAGGATTTTGTGGCGTCTCATGATTTTTTGGAAAGCTTCTTCGATTGATTTTCAATAAGCGAAAATGTTAAGAATTAGTTTTTGCAGAGCAATGGTTTACTAAAAGAGAAACTGTTTTATATTTACTTCTGGAAATATTGTTTTGTTTAATTGTTTCTGGAATTAGGTTTTTCAATTTTTTTTCCAGCAGCTGCTGTCCAGACCAGGATTCTAACCTGCGTTGTTGCGGCCACAGCGCAATGTCCTAACCACTAGACGATCTTGATCAATTGTATTGCAAAATCATCGATATCAGATCTCTTCTAGACTCAGGTGCTTTTGGTGACTTGTAACTCTTTTTAGACAGACTTTTGTCGATTTTTGTTTTCCAAGTTTGTTTTTAGTTTACTTCGGCTCTTCAAAATTTTCTCGTGTTTTAGCGTTTTCATCAATCTTTAAATAGAATTTTTGGCGTCTCATGATTCTTTTGAAAACTTTTTTGATTGATTTTCAATAAGCTAAAATGTTAAGAATCAGTTTTTGCAGAGCAATTTTTTCCTTAAAGAGGAAACTTTTATATTTTTTTTCTGTAAATATTATTTTGTTTAATTGTCTCTGGAATTAGGTTTTTAAATTTTTAGTTTTTTCCAGCAGCTGCTGTCCAGACCAGGATTCTAACCTGGGTTGCTGCGGCCACAACGCAATGTCCTAACCACTAGACGATCTTGACCAATTGTATTGCAAAACCATCGATCTTAGATCTTTTCTAAACTCAGGTGCTTTTGGTGACTTGTAACTTTTTTTAGACAGAGTTTTGTCGATTTTTGCTTTCCAAGTTTGTTTTTAGTTTACTTCAGCTCTGAAAGTTTTTCCCTTGTTTCAGCGTTTTCATTAATTTTTCACAAAAGGACAAAAACGTGACTTCCAGGGTTAGATTTTTAATAAAGCTTCGATGAATTTTTTCTTTGTTGACTATTTAATTTTTTAGCGAACTACCAAACCTAAGTCACAAATTTTATTGCTGGCACAAATTAAAGCTTATTGATAGCATGTTCTTTAACATTTGAATAAAAGTCAGTTAGCGCAGTTGATGCGTTTTAACTTCATCAAATGATTTGAAAACAAATCTATTTGTTTCAAACAACATAAAAAACTCGATTTCAAAAGTTTTCCAACTGAATATATCTCGCAGTTTTTTTAAACATAAGGTTGCTTTATGCTTTACAATTTATAACATGATAATTAGTAGGGATGCCTTGAGTTTGTTATTTTCCAAACTATTACTTGTAAAGTTTGTTAGCATGTGTAGCTGCCTCATTTTTGACTTTTGTTTGCTTGTTGTTAAGCAGCGTTCGTGGCCGAGAGGGCAGGGCGTGAGACTCCAATTTTCGAGGTCACTCTCGAAGCCCATACGTAGCAAAGTCTTACTACTGCGAGACTCATTTCCATCTTTTCTTATTTCACTTATGTGAAGCTGCTTTTATCGTGTTCTCGCTAAAATTTTGATTTGCTTCGCGGAAATTTTCATTCAATTAGCTAACTTGCAAAGCTGTAGTTTTTCTTGATACTCATTTTGAGCATCAACTGAATTTTTCTACTGACGATCGTAAATTTTCACATCTTCTGCAGCCGTGGCTCTTAACATGAGAGCTGTATGTTCGAATCCCACTTCAGTCACGGTTGGAAGGGCTCAAGTGTCGTCTGCCTCCTCAATGAGCGACCCGCTACGGCGAAAAAGATGGAATCCCCATTCCACTATGTTTGGTTCTGCTTTGAATAGGATCGAGAGCTATAAAAAAACAGCTTCTGTTGGTAATTTTAAATAACCGGCGTCAAAAAAATTCAGAACAACTATCAATCCTTAGACCATTAATCATCATCGGTTGACCTACTGTCATTTTGATTCGCTTAATTCATTCTTGATCAACGTAAACCCTGTGGCAATTTCTCTGCAGTAGAAGGTGAGGCTCTTGTTCTAAAATGATGGCGCGTAATTAAATCACGTTCGTATTGTGATCACTTAACAATGAGAATCTATTTATACACCAGCCGCTGGGTTATTTTTTTTCTAAAAATTGTGAGTGAATTGTGTTTCTAAGAATGACCTCTTCAACATGGCGGGGCGCATCATATGCTGAAGATGTTTTCAATGTGGTAGATCAAGTCATATCACACTTCGCTTAATTTCCGTTTGAAATCGAGCCGCAGCAAAATGACTTATTGCATATCTTTGAATTCGAGCCACGGCAAATTGACTCATTTCAAATTTGGAAACAATGTGTTTGGAAACAATGTTAGCCATTTCACAAGATAATGATTGTGTGGGTTTCATGAAAAAATGATTTGTTCCGAACCCCTTTCTGCTTTTGACTTGAATTCGGCGCATCTCGCATTTAGCCGTAAATTTACACTAAAATACGACAACTTTGAGTTTTGCGGCAGAAAACAACCTGGTATAGATGTTAAAGATTTTTAATAGAAAGAACCTAGCTAAAGCTTTTAACAGATTGGAGTCAACATGAGTCTCGTCATGTCTACATGAGTCAAGCTCAAAGAAGAAATATTCAAAAATATATAAACTGTCCATATAAACCTTTCCATTTTTTTGTCAATGTTGAAGCTCAAAATGATGGAAAACTGACCAAAATAGATGATTCGAACCGAGATATTCCATTTAAATCCTCTTTGCTTAATAATTTAGCGTTACTTATTTTATCGTAACTAAATTTTCCAATTTTTTTATTTTTTTTTTCAAGATGTCCAGACTTCTCAATTATATTACGTATGTATAGGTGGTTTAATGATGACTGGTGTTTAATGTATGTTGTTGTGTTTGTAGCATAATCAGCACGGTGCTGTCCTTCTTTGCGCTGGAGGGATTCGACGTCAAGGCTCTCAGGGCCTTCAGGGTGCTCAGACCCCTCAGACTGGTGTCTGGCGTACCCAGTGAGTAACTACTTATGGCACGTTTCATACTCTTACCCCTAATTTGGGGAACAATAAAACCCAGGAAACAAGATATGCGAAACGCTCCAAGTCAACAAACTGTTTCAAAGATGCATGCAAACCCTATATTCTGAGTTTTTTCTATTTAATCTGGGGAAATTTTTAGGTTTTTGTTCGAATTTTCACATCTGCTAAAATAAAGCTGGATTATGGATATTTTGCACGTAACCTATTTAAGCGTTCGTTCGTTGCGTGTAATTATAACAGTAATTTTGTTTCTATTACTTTATTTTTGCTGAGTGTTTCTATTACTTTATTTTACCACATTTCTATTACGCTATTTTGTTGAGTGCCCTGAATTTGCAACTCAAGTGAACTGATTTTTTATACCCCTCTGAACTGAAGAACTGTTGGTTTGTTCAATTTTTTAATTGTGACTTTGTGTTGTGTAGGTTTGCAAGTGGTGCTAAATGCGATTGTGAAGGCGATGGTGCCTCTGCTGCACATCGCTCTCCTAGTAGTCTTCGTCATCATCATCTACGCCATCATCGGACTGGAGATGTTCGCTGGCAAACTGCACAGCACATGCTTCTACCCCGATGGTCAGTCTCAGATTTTTTTCAAACTAAGTCCACTCCAAATTAACTAATGATTTATTTTAAGGCGGATCTAAGTTTAGAACCAAGTTTATATCCCCCTTAAGATCAGTTTGGAATGATTTTAGACCAAGACAATTTACTACTAAGCTTCGAGCATTTGAAAGTCAAAGTAAATGAATAAATATATAATGATTTTTGACGTAGTGAAAAGACCTATTGGTTTTATTATCTTTATTGGTTTTATTATCTTAATTTCAGCTTTTTAAATTTTATTTTGATATATTTTGTTCACGCTCAAATATGATTTTTCGCAGCTTGGTTTTTAATTTCTTTCAACGTCGATGAACGTAGTAAATACTTTCAAAGGTCGTGATGATTTTTGTTGTTTTTTTTGTGTCACAAAAAAATCGTAAAACTTGTTCACGCGCAACTTTGCTTTTCCACAGTTTGATTTTGATTTCTTTTTAAATTCAGTTTATTTCATTTATTCAAAAGAAAGCAAACTCAATTATTGAACAGATAAAGTGTCGAAATCACCAAAAATGTGATCACCTTCTAATTTTGAATTTTTAGATTTCCCAGCGGAATGATTATTTTAACTATTGATCCAGTTCTCGCAAATGGAGTGATTTTATCCAAAAATTGTTGATCATGATTTTTTAAATACAACGAGCTTTAAAGCCATATTTTTTTTGATTTTGAAAGTTGAATTTAAAAAAAAAAACTAGCCATTTTTTGTCTTCTTGCGTTCATTTACTCTATTCCAACTTTCTGTTGGCTATGTTTAAGTTCAATCGAAATATTTTGCTAAAAGGGAAGCAAATTACGCTCTCCAATTCCGAAAGTTCAAATGGCGCAAAAATTTAAATGGATTTTTTTTCAAAAATGTATTAATAGCTCTGTGATACCCCGGCGAAAAAAAAACACCTATTGATCCAGTTTTCTCGAACTGCGGTAGTTTTATAAAGAAAAACGTAATATTTTAGTTTTGCGTACCTCTATGTGCAAACTAGTCGCTTCTGATTGGCTGAAAGTTCCAAGTTAGAACCAAGTTTATATCCCCCTTAAGTTCCCTTTGGAATGCTTTTTTAGACCAAGACGTTTTTGCTACTAAGCATCGAGCATTTGAAAATTACAATAAATGGATAAAATTATAATGATTACTAATACTGACGTAGTGGAGAGACCTATTGGTCGTGTTGATTTTCTTATCGTTTTTTATTAGCTAATCGTTTTTAATATATAAAATTTTTTATCATTTAAGATCATTGCCATTTAACATGCGATTTTTCTTTTTTGAGAAAACTCTTGGTTTTTGTGTTTTCGGGAATTAAAAAAACAAAACTTTCTGCGGAACTCTTCAAGTTTTGAATTGCCGTTCATGGAAATATTGCTGGTCATACAATTTTTGTTGAAGTCTGTATCAAAGAGGTTTTATACAACTTTCTGTATGCATGGAATTACATGGCAAGAAGTTTTTTTGATCATCGCCGTCACCTGCTATTGGCTGTTAGTTGAAGTGTAAACCGTACAAAGCAGCTTGAATAGTTGGCTCAAGCAAGAACTCGGAGGATGGTGTCTAAAGTCGGTTGTTTTTGTTTAGCAGTTTTTTAAGCTTTTTTTCTGGCACCTGCAATCGAAATGTTGTCGCAAGTTTGCTTGACTTCAAGTTTAAGAATTTTCATCGGAACAAATAACAAAGTTTTTCATGTATTATGCCATACTGATTCAACTCCTGTAGAGCGCTGCCGCGTTCGAATAATTTGCTCTCCAGATTTCTTTGAACTTCTTTTGAGCACTTCTTTTGAGCACTTCAAGTTTTATTAGAACATATATACAAGTTTTTGCTAATGTTTCGAGCTAACTTTGAAGTTGTTTGACTTCAAAGTAAGTATCCCGAGGGCATCATTTTTTGCTGCGTTGACATTCTTTGAGCACTGCCTGAATAAATTTCTCCGAAATTGCTCAGTAGCTATCATAAATAAGCTTTTTCTTTGTGACTTAGAACCTTCATACACTTTTCATTCCAGTGATCTACATTTCAAAACATTTTTACGACTTGATTTAGACAACCTATGAGATAAGTAGAAAATAATTACAAAAAATGGATTAAATAACCCGTTCATGATAAATTTTAGCTCTTAAGAATGTTCCATTCAAAAATGATATCACAAAAAAAGGTTCCCGTTTTTCATCCTTGTTGGTAGGCAGTATGTGTCGTCACATATAGGACAAATCTTGTGAACTTTGGATGAAACGCAACGTGACTTGTGGATAATACCATCGCTTTACAAGTTGCCTTACGCGCCATTGATTTCCAATTAATCAATGCGCATCGCTTGTCCTTTGGTCTCAGGCTTGTATCATTTGGTCGGCATTGTAACGAAATACATCTCAAAATGAACTGTCTCGCTTTGTGCCTTTTTAATGTTCTGCGCCATTGACTCCTTTCACATTTTTTTCATCTTGGTGTAATAAATGTGGAATGCCCTGCATTGGGATTACTTTCACATGGTAAAGTACAGTTGTGGCCCGTGAAAAAGAGCAAGCAGTCATAAAACTATCCCCTTCTCGTTTCTGATTACCATGTACAATGGAGTGGGACGGCTCAATAATGTTGAGAATGGGGATTAAAACGCCATTCAATATCCGCTCTCTTGTCCTCCAAAATAGCCCCTTTTATGATCACAAATTACGGCTGGAGGGCCGAAGACGGAAAGACAAGGTGCTCGAAGTGAAGCACATATTGCGGGAGCTATCGAAGCCATATGAGAAATCGGAAATGTCAGAATAGTTCTGACTCATTTTGCATTTTGATGCTGGATTTTATCAGAAATGGGACGTAGTTGTTAGCATAAACTGAGTGAAATTTTGAAAAAAATTATGGCTGACATTTTTTTGACTCAAATGATATGTTGTATTTCGTCAGAGATGCCTTAACTCTGGCTTTGATGGCTAAAAAAACTATTTTGCTATCTCTGCTAAAGCATTTTGGGAGACAATAACTGAACTTAACGTTTTTGATGATTTCTTCTGCTTTTTATGTAATTCGCATATTTAATGGGGCGTTGTCAATGTTATAAACCATATGCTGCCTCTATATTCTGTGCTTCAAACAGATTTGTAATGGTGGTTCTGACACTAAACGAATCCACATCGTGAACAGAACGTGAACTTTTTAAGTTTTCACGTGTTCCAATAAAAAAAATTGTAACCGAAATGATATTTTCTCCCGCCAGAGAATTTTGGAAAGCTATTTTAGGTTAGTTTTTTTTCATGCAAAAATAAGTAATCGATAAATATATACCGCAGAGTTGAATGATGTATCTTATTACAACATATTCACTCATGATTGGAGTTCCAACATACTTAACTGGCTTTTTGTACGTTTGCGAGACCAAGTGTCTTTATATCGGAAACTAAATGTTTTTGCCTTCAACAAATTTTTTCGTGATTCTTATGTTTTTCAAATATTCGTCCAAATTCTTGTCGCCTTGTTTTTTGTCTGTTTTTCTTAAAGCCCAAATTTAACCTAGGGTTCTAACCATTGTATAACTAGAACAGTGCTTTTTTTCTTGATTATGGATTTTTGGTTCAGGCTTGTATCATGTTTAGTTTGCTGATGGTAAAAATATAGCAAGTCTTTTTTTGCTGGAAATGAATTTTTTTGTGTCTCATATTGCGCCACTGTATATGCAAAAATATATTTTCCTGATGAAAGATATTAATTCAAACTTTTTTATAGCTTACTTTTATGCCGCTTTATGAAAGGTATGAACGGGGTTTTTTATGATAAGTGTTTAAGTCATGAGATCAAACTTTGAATGATATTTGATTTGTGACTTTTTGAAAAGTTATGGTGGTTTGGAAATTCTCAAGCTGGCTGACCTGGGATAATTAACGCGCGATATATTGCGTTATATTAAAGCGTAAGCGGCGTAGTTCGGCTCAGAAACCTTTCCAGCTTGTTATGAGGCACGCTATTTGTAACTCTTAATACGCTGCAGGTCACAAAATACCTGACTTTTCATAAATTGAAAGGAGGAATGAATTTGAGAAAAAATCTAGTTGGAAAAAAATTTGGAAAAGACAACAATTTTTTTTATTTTTTTTTTGATTTTTCATCAAGTGTTGAATTTCTCAAAAATGGGACTTTCCTTAGAATTTATGGAACAGTCGGAAAGTTCCAACCCTTGCCTTGGTACGAGCAGTTTTGCTTAACATGTGTATTTGATCCGTCTTGTTAACGAGTTTATTTCGTTTTTTGTTTATATTATGTTTCGATTTTTTGATTTTCTCCAATCCAAATTTCTCCTCAACTTTGGTGTTTGGAGTAACAAGTGATCTGCAATTGTTGATAATCACCCATTGATATTTTCAAAATTTTCTTGTAAAATTATGAAAGTTTTTCAGTGGCTGCCTTCAAATCTGATTATCACTTCACTTATTTTGTTCTAGCTTGATTTCGTCAGTTGTAGCGCATCGATAGTGATGGTGCCCGTCATATGATTGCGGGTTCGAATCCCACGTGCGCTGGAATTTACACGGTACACTCTTGTAAGATAGCCATAGCTTAGTTAACCTTAAATAATTGACCTTCGGGTTAGGCCTCTGGCTGGTTAACTAAAAAAATATTTTTATACAAGTTAAGTCCTTGAAACATAAAAAAACTGCTAAACTTTAATGTATTTGATTGCAAAATTTTGAAAAACAAAAGCATTATTTTTCAAGCAATTATCAGAATTTTTGGGCAAAACAAAAAATTTGTTCTTGGGCGGACAATTTTATAATCCCATTTTTTTTCTGTGAGCAGCTTAAAAGCCTAATCGATCAAAGTTTTTTAGATGAACTGAGTTTCTCGAACCAGTTTTTTAAATGAACTGGTTTTGGGTTGTTTTCTTAAATGACATTTCGATCGGCTTGTGTCATTTTACTTTTTTAGATGACGGCAACCTGGTGGTGATGATGGACGACCCCCGACCGTGTAATAAAGATGGTGACGTCGGGTTCAAGTGCGACAACGACAGTACATGTCTAGACGGCATATGGGATGGACCTAACAAGGGCATCACTAACTTTGACAATGTCGGACTGGCTATGTTGACTGTGTTCCAGTGCGTAACTATGGAAGGATGGACAACCATCATGTACTGGGTCAGTCATTCTTTTTGTAATACCTTTTAAATGGGTTCATTCTTTGATTCCATTTGCATTTTTCTCATTTTTTTAACCAAAAAAAAATAACATAAAAACGGATTATCTCTAAAACATGTAAAACGGATTATTGCGAAAATCAGATGATGACCAACTCAATTATGTGCTTCTAAGAAAAGCCAGCTTGGTTTTGTGCAAGTCTAAAACTATTCATAATTACTATGATTTTTAAACAAAATTGCATAACTGAAAGAAGTTTTTTTGCAAAAGTTGTGCGTCCATCTCGTGCGTGCTTCATCGTGATAAAAAAGAATGAATGAGTAGTATTATTGTACTTATAACCGATTTTTGCTTTTTAGCGATATAATATTCAGGGCTTAAAAAAGATTAAAGAATAGTTGTGAAAGTTTGCTTAGACCATTATTGGTTAGCAACGAAAAACGCTTTCGATACGACTCGTTTTTTATTTTCTCTGCTCGTTTTCCAATTAACCCAATAATTTTATGCTGAAAGGTAAAAAATGCCTTTAAAACAAATTGAACTATATCTTCCTGTTGCTAGTCAGTAGGGCAATCAGCCAAGACCATTTACCTTGAAAGTGCTAGTGAAAGTGAGCTTTATAATCTCCCCATAACTTCACATCCCTTTTTCATCCGTTCCGAGACTGGATGAAATTCTTTTTTTTGGCCCTCTGAATTTCTCACGGCCATTTATCGACTCTAGACAGACGTTTTGCATCTGTTTATTTTTGTCTCGCCCGCAAGGCGTCTGACCCGGAAAAAAAGTTTCTAGCGTTGCTGCGTGTAGCTCACAAAAACTGGCGTTTAGGTTTTTTGGAGATATTGGATATTGTAGAAAAATCAGACAACAGAACTGATGATGCAAATTTAAAATGTTCTTTAACAAAAGCCGAAAAAATTTAATATATATTTGCAGTATATTAATAGCGAAGAATTTCATTTTATTTGAAACGAATTCAGCCCTCGGTGATTTGAATAATTGAATCACTGATCAAGGAATCGAACTAAAAGCGCGTAATGAAAAATTCCATTTTGAGCTGCGTGTTGATTTTCCGTTAATTTATACATCGGCTCATTGCACTAGCGACAGCTGAAAAAATTGCGGATTTTGTTTGTTTTTCCATCTCTACCCTCTTCTCACTGATAACACAGATATCTCCTGGATTAATTTGGCCCTAAAGTGAACCCTTCTAAGCTCCCTTGGATCGGCAACAATGGCAACATAAAAGTACCTGTGTATATGGAACTTCCTAAAATCAATCACAGCGCGAACAAACAAGGGTTATCTTGAGTTCTGTTTGGTATCACATGCCAATGGTCATTTTGAAAGAAAAAATTTAGCTGACAGAATAATGGAAAAGTGTATTCTTAGAAGATCTCTGTTTTGGTGTCTCGTGTATTAAGATTGAATCCTAAATTATGAATTCGAAATGTCACTTAGTTGTTAAATGATTCTCAGGTTTTCAGATTCCTCATCTTAATAAATTCGATTTAACAACTTGTAGGTTTTCTGCACTAGCGTCATTTTGAACCTCGATTTGATGCTTCTTACTTTTTGGCGTTGTTTGAAAATAAGCAGTTCTGAAATAAAAGTTAGCTCAATATTTGTCCTTGAGATCAATATATGCAGTTCGAACTGACCCCGCCCAAATTTCATTGTAATAACTTTTTTTCTGTTTTTACTGTTCTTTTTAGAGAACGGAATATTTTTTTTGATGCCGGCTGCATTTTTTTCTCAAGTTGAATCTGTTTTACTAGCAAAATCTATTTCTATTCTTTCAAATTTCATGTATATCTGGGCTGCTAGAGTTGTGAAAATGTTCTTTTATCTGGCACTAAAATAGAAACTAATCACTTTTGATTCCTGGAGTTTCGCTTGCTTCACAGTTTAAATTATTGGAATTTCTATTAATTAACTTTTTGTACTAACTCCTCCTTCTTGAAAATTCAATTATTATATTTTATTTTGGATGTTCTTCGTTTCAATAATGCTAGCAGCACAGAATGTGTAAAAGGCTTCGAATTTTGAATCAAATCATTTTTTTTTAAATAAGACTGCTCCGTAAAAAAATACACCTTAAATGCGTGTTTAAAACTCAAAAATTGTTTGGAGAAAAAAACCACCCCGATATTAAAAATTCCTTTGACAATTGGAACAAATTTTTTTCCGCTTGGTCAAAAAAAAACTGCGAATCCAACACAAGATATCGAAATTTCAGGATTGCACAAGAATTGACACAATCAAAGTTTTTCGTTTCAGCCACAAAACAAAATCATTTGAGAAGCTAGTTGAGATTTGAGGCCTCGGCTCTGAATTTTGGCCTTTTTATCCAACTGTTATGAAATTTTGAGTTTCTTGCAAAGAGTTTGTATCGTTTAGGTAAATGACAGTGTTGGTCAGTCGATGCCTTGGATCTACTTTGTGTCATTGATCATAATTGGGTCTTTCTTCGTCATGAACCTTGTCTTGGGTGTACTCTCAGGGTGAGTTTCTCTTCAAAGTTCGGCATTAGTCATTTTTGTACCTGGAACCAGCTCCGCTTACGCAAAAATTGGGCTACCTGTTAGCTTAAACATACTTATTACTCATATAAATCTATCTCGTTATGGGAGAATCATAAGGTACTACTAAATCGAAGGTAGGTAAAAATCCACTATTAATTTCAAAGTATGATTGCATATATTTTTGGGTTGCAATTAGTTTTTGTTTGCAGAGAGTTCTCTAAAGAAAGAGAGAAAGCGAAAGCCAGAGGAGAGTTCCAGAAACTGAGAGAAAAAAACCAGCTGGAAGAAGACTTGAAGGGATATCTAGACTGGATCACACAAGCTGGTAAGTGATTTCAATTTTCAACTATTTTGGGGGGTGGCCTTGATATGGCTACTGATACGTAGTGATCTGTAGAAATGGAAAGTTTTCCTGCTTAGAAAAAAGAGCATTTGCGTTCTTAATAAAGGTTCAACATCGGTAAATTATAGTCCGCGCAATATCTCGTATGGTGTTTTTAATTGTTTATATTGTTTCAATTGGGTACCATAGTCTGAGTTCGTTATGGTATGAACTGTTTCAGAAGTGAACGGAGACGACGAGCCTGAAGATAAAGGTTAGAGTCTTAAGCTCTATTTGTTTTTTCAACATAAAATTGCTTTCACCCAAGTAATATGGCAAAAAAAAATGATTACTGAATCACAATCTGCATAAATCAGGCATGAAATTTTGATCAATTTCTTGTGTCTTATCGACTGAAAGATATCGTAGATTAATTTTTGATATATTAGATTGATTTTTAGATGTAATTTAGATTGATACAGGTTACTGTGCAATCGTTTTGACATTGATTCTTACAAAGAAGAGTCGGCATGCTTTAAATACCATTATGATTTTTTTTGCAAAAATGTAATACCATCAGGCGAGGCTGACAACTCCTCAGAAAAAACTGGAGACGATACAGGGAGTCAAGAGATAGTTCCCAAGTTCAAGTGGCTCAACCAGAAGATGAAATCATTTGGGAGGGCCAACAAAGCATGCAGAAAGAGGTGCCTTCAGATCACGAAGAGTTCGGCAATGTACTGGTTCATTATAGTAATGGTTTTCTGCAACACATTCGTGCTGGCTTCCGAACATCATGGACAGTCGAAAGTACAACAGACGTGCCAATGTTAGTACTTTTTCTTAAATCTAAAAGCTTTAATAAAAATAAAAAGTCAAGGAACGCATTTTGACCCAAGCAAAATTGAATCCAGTCAAAAGAAATTGGTAAATTGCCTTGACCCAAAAATCAAAAACATTTTTAGACTGGTGTTCTATCTGGCTCAGAATTGCTCAAAATTTTGATTAAAATGTGTTTTCGAAAAATTGTGTATCCAAACATGCCTACTCCATATTTTAGCAGGTTTCTGCGCAAAGAGCACAGAGGGTTGCGACACCAAATAGTGTTTCAATTTTAACCCGAAAAATTTAGAACAAAAATTACAAAAAAAAAACACCCGAAATATTATATTCTTGCCAAGTAATGCGTGTTCTGAATAAATACATGCTGTCTATAGGTTTGCCCTTCATCTAAGCTCAAGTATTTTTTCAGTGTTCGCCAACGTGCTGTTCGTGTGCGTCTTCACAGCCGAGATGCTTCTCAAGATGTACAGTCTAGGCCTAGACACCTACTTTGTCTCCCTGTTCAACCGATTCGACACAGTTGTCGTATTCACCAGCATCCTCGAATTGGTTCTAATGTCAGCCGAGTTGATGCCTGCAATCGGAGTCAGTGTGTTGAGGTGTATCCGACTCCTGAGGATCTTTAAGGTGACGAAGTACTGGACCTCGCTACGGAACCTGATCTCATCTCTTTTGAACTCGCTCAGATCCATTATGTCTCTGCTTCTTCTGCTGTTCTTGTTCATTCTGATTTTTGCACTACTCGGAATGCAAGTGTTTGGCGGAAAGTTTAACAGTTTGAACGACAATGAAGAGAAACCGAGAAGTAACTTCGACACATTTTGGCAGGCACTGGTCACAGTGTTTCAGGTCAGCAAAATAGACAACACTGCAGAAATAGTATGGCGCTCTTTGCTTTCATGCGAAATTCATGCCCAAAGTTTAACGCTAACTGTGGATCATTTTTCGCTTCTTCATTCAATCAAGAATTACTCCAAAACAAACTAACTAGTCGATCACTGACATAAGTATATCAAAGTAAGTCTCTTACGTCGCCAAAACAAACTTTAGGAAGGGTAAACTCTCCAAAAAAAGTTGTGCAAAGCGTTTAAAAATTGTTTTTAAATAAAAAAATAGGTGTTTTATATAGCAAAACCGACCTTTTATGTCTATCGAACCAGAATAGATTAGTTTATACAATGTTTTGGAGATAATACCAATCTTAAAGTTTGTTGGGCTTCTAAAAGTTTGTTGGGCTACGTAAAAGGCTCACTTTACTATACTTATGTCAGTGATCGACTAGGTAGTTTTGGCTTAACTTTTGATAGACTAAAAAAGCCAGAAATGATCCATTTTTGGGGTCAAATTTTGAGTCCGAATTTCTCAAAACAAAGAGCGCCACATTAATTCTGCTAAAATTTTAAGCAAGTTTTGTCTTCATCGTTTTTCGCCTTAAGTCAACTCACGTTGAGAAAAACGCATGTTAAATTTCAAGTTTAGTGCGTTTCCTCAGAATAGTTTAAATTAGCTGTGAAGATCAAATAAAACTAAGCTCCTTAAAAAATAAGCTCTTTTTTAATGAAGAGTTAATCTTGAAAAAAATTATCTTTTCAAAGTCACCGTCAGACTAAATTATGCATAAAATTGACAATTAACTAAATGTTTTTGATACATTCTGATTTAACCCAAAGCGGTATTTGGAACAAAATAAAAGATTCTATATGTTTTTTTTTGTATCAGATTCTGACGGGCGAGGACTGGAATGAGGTGATGTATAATGGAATAGAGTCCATGGGGGGAATCAGAGACCTCGGCTTTGTAGCCTGTATCTACTTCATAGTCTTGTTCATTTGCGGTAACTACATCCTCCTCAACGTCTTCTTGGCTATCGCAGTCGACAATCTCGCAGACGCCGACTCACTCGGAAACGCACAAGAAGAGGCAGAAGCTGCTAAAAAGGTGCAAAAGTTTTTGATTTTATAGGAAAATGTGACAAACTTTTGGTCATTTTTAGCTAACTTTGATCTAATTATTTGAAAAAAAAAGCTCGATATTGCAGCTCTTTGGTTTTTGATTATGTACTTGTCTGCCCTCCTATACGTCAATGTTTTAATTTTAGGCTTTGTTTGTTGTTTCTGTGTCTTAAAAGCTTTAAGCGCAAAATCAGTTTTGGTGTAATTTGGCGTTTCTGCCGTTTTGAATCGAATCCGCTTCATCTTTGCCATCATCATCATTACTGATCATCATGCTCGTATGATAACTTCTGTGTACAATTACTACACAACTGAAAACTTGGACGACTAAATTATAATCCAGAGAGATGTGACTGATTGCTTTATCAATTTTTATTGTCCCAACTGATACCACATTTTATAAGTCTCACTGCTTTTGCTTTCTCTGTTGTGATGAAATGTAATCATAACGTGTATGATTTGAAGGACTCCTTAAGTGGTCGAAAAGTGTCGAAGTCATCCTTTGGGACCCCAATGTCTCGAAAATCGAGCAATGTCCGCAAACCTCGCCCAGTAAGTATGTCTGCCCGATGAATAGACAATATGTTAGGTAGCAGTGTTCGGACCATGGCTATAATTTACATGCATATCTTCTTGTAGTTTAATTGCTAGCAGATTTTTCAGTTAGCCGAAGGTAGCGTTTGGGTATGGATTGAACAGTTTATCTATATAAATGCTTCCATTCATCGTAGCTTGTTTAATTGAAGAAAATTTAAAAAAAATGTACAAAAATTATGGGAACTTTTAGAACCGAACTAATCAGCTGTGCAAGTATGCGATAAAGTGCGATATCAAGGAAAATTAAACATGTGAAAAGGTAGATAGTTTACATCGGCACGTTTCAGAAATCTATAGCACACCGAAGTTTTTAAAAAAGATTTACAAAGAACTGGTAACAATGTTTTAGCAGGTCGTAACTCAAAGCTGGAAAATTTTCGTCAAGTTAAATGGCTTCTTGCTTAAATTTCTGTAAAATTAAAATGAAAGTTTTGGTTTTTTCAGTTTTGATCAAAGGATTTCAGCTCTGCTCGCCAATTTTTATCTTTCTGTTTCAGTTCAAAAACTATTTGTTTGGGCTTTTTAAGTTGATTGTCTGCTTATTTGCCAATTTAAATAAATATAGGAGAGCTTGGTATGATTTTAGAGCTCTTTTCTGTGCTTTCTCTTTTCACTATTTAAAAACTGAGTTCTTGTTATGAATTAAATAACTAGAAAAATCTTCGCTTATATGCTTCCGTAGAATTCCCATTTTATTCAGAAAAGGTTTCACAATATTATGCTTACGTCAATTTTTAAGAGTAATGAACGAACTTATATAGGTCTTGGTGATTTTTTTGTTTTTTTTTCAGGAAAAAGTCTTAAAATGCTCTAATAACTACAGATGTGCATTCATACATATTCATGCGTTTATAAAAGCATTTAGGTATATTATGCTTTTTTTGAGTTCAATTGAAATTCATCTGTTGAAATTTACATAAATAGCATTCTCCAAATACGAACGTGGAAATGGCGCGAATAAACATGAACAATTTCTAGTTTCGCAAGTGGAATTTATTTTTCTAGATTTACAGTAGAATAAAAACTTTACCTATTGATCCAGGTTTCTCAAGTTGGGTTAATGTTATTAGAAAAGTGCCAATCATAAATTGTTCTAGAAATTCACCGAGCTTGAAGGGCATTTTTTTGAAATTCGAAAGTTGAGGTTTTTTCAACAAAGTCAGTGTTTTTCTGATTATTACTCTTTTCGAACTGTCATTTGGCTATAATTTCAGGAATATATCAAAACTGCCTATATATGATATGTTTGCCCGGTTGTCGGTGCATCATTTTTGCCAACTAGAACGCGATTAGATTAGGGAATTTTCAGATTTACGTAACCTTAAATGGTGGCCAGTCAATGAGCAGAATGAACTGAGAGCAGAAAAATCAACAAATTTTGAAATAATTAAATATTGAAAATTGACCAAAAAACAATTTTTATTGTCAATACAACCAGTGCAATGAATGAATTATACATAAATTGAGTAAGTTCATCTAGTTGTTTTTGAATTCAAATTCAAATTACTCAATTATGCATAATCTATTCGTTTGCTTTTGGTAATATTGACAGCTGTAAAGTTGTTATTATCGATTAACACATAAAAGTCAACTTTTTTGCTCTTAAACCTTTTCTTGCTATGCCTCCATCTGAAATGAACCTGCGATTTAAAAATCTGTTGCAAACATTTAATAAATTATAATTGGTGGTGGTTTGTTTAGACGATAGCTTTTATTGTGTAGAAAAGTTGGCTTTAATTTTTTGCTTAACGAAATTTTTCTTAGTCAAAAATTGTGTGTATAAGTGCAATTTGAGCCACAGTAAATATTGATTAAATTCATATGAATGACAAAATTGAAACAGTTTTTGTTTTTGCAATTAGCAAGTACATTGTGGTTTGGCTTCAGACTTTAAAAAGGAAGACTTTTTGCTGCTATTGCGTTTAAGATAAACGGTGGCCTTATCGGCAAAGAAAATAGTTGCTCAATAATTAATAGTTTCAACAATAATCTTCGAGAAAAAATTTTCTGTTGACAGACTTTTACACATCCGAGCTAGCGAACGTAGTGTTATATTGCGATTCAACTTTTTCCCATTTCAAGTCGCAAAGGAAAATATTCATTCGGAGACACTTTTGCTATGTAGCTTTGTATCTAGCTTACTTTTGCTTAGCATTATATCTTTGTATACCTGGTTTGTAGGTGGCTGTTCACAAATGATTAAATTTGTACGATAAATCTCGAAAGCTGAAAAAATCATTAGTGTGTATTTGATTTTCTTGAGCTCATAAACGGTTTTGTCAACTGTCTTGGAAATATTAGCTCTTTAAGCTAGAGATGCAGATCGTTTTGATGGAATTTTTGTGATATTTCGATTTACACTTAAAGATTTTTTCATGAATCAATATCTTTTTTTAATTTGATCATCCAAACTCGATAGTATGATGCAATAATAATATAATGTTTCAAAGACGTGATTCTACTTCGCGCTGCTGAGTTTAAAACAAGCTGATTGAAAAACAAGCCCTAATCGAAACGCGAAACTATTTGGACTTCGGTTCAAGATGAACAGTCTCTTATAACCATCATTGATTATATTTTTGGATTTTTTCGTTTACGGAATTCTATTAAGTTTCAGTTTTAGGTCATTTGAAAATGATGCTAGTGTAATGAAATATATAAATTTTAAAGAAAAATCAATACAATTTTCAAAACATTTTTGAGTTAAATTGTTTCCTCTTCACAGAGCTCAGAGTAGTTAATTTTTCTTCAAAACTTTTTGTAAAGAGAAGTTAAACATGCATTTCAATTTGTCTTTACCAGGAGGAGGCGCAGGTTGGTAAGAATGATGGACATGAATTCTGATCTAATTAATTGGAACTACCAAACGTCGTGTCGGTTGCTTTTATCTGAAACAATTTTCAATCATATCTGTCAGCTATATTTATTATATAAACTCCAATATTATATGACTACCCTTATAAACGCCATGTTCGTTACTTTCTGAAAGAAAACAGAATGGTTGAAAGTTTGTATTCATCACGCGTTTTCACCATAATTTGTTAAATAAAACGATAATATAAAGTTTTATTGTTATTGGTTTTTTTTTTCACTTATAAAATGGACTGTACTAACTCTTAGATCTAGTGAAGTGAAGATTTCTAATTGCGTGATTATTTATGTTTTATGAGTCAAGTGTTTATTGGTAACTTTATAACTCGCTGTTGTCAGTCATCAATTATTAGCTGAAAAATGGCTTTAAAAATCTTTCTAAGTTGAAAGCAATTCAATGCCTAGTGAATCAATGTACTAATTTTGGCACAATTGATCACATACGCACTGACATTAATTCCATAAAAATAAATAAGCTTCGTGGTGCTCTCTTTTTTCGTATTTTTTTAATCACTGTACATTTGAAGGCATAAATAACACCTAACGTTCAATATGCTAAAATTATCCTTATGAAAGCTATTGGCAGGAAAATAACTTTATGAGGACGTGCAAATTCGAAGTGCAGATGTTCAAATCTGAAAAAGTTTGATATCGGTTTCACAAAAGTAACAAAATATCAAAAATGAGAAATTTTCGTGTGTTTGTAGAAAAAAGAAGACAGAGAAATAGCTACCATTTCTGGGAAAGCGGAACGAACAGATCATGACGACGCTGAAAGTGGTCACTTAGCAGAATCTCACTTAGCAGCAGATGGTGAGTTGGAACAGGAGATGATGGACGAAGAGGAGATGCCGTCCGGTGCTAGGCCGAGACGGATGAGTGACATTGAAAAAGTGAAGACGAAAGTGAAGCCCATTCCAGAGCAGTCTAGTCTGTTCATATTCTCAAAGACAAACCCGTGAGTCTATTCTGGCTCTTGTTGGAGTCTAATCTGGCTTCACGTTATATTTCGTACTCAAGAAAAAGCACAGACCTTCCTAAGTTTAACCTTGATGGATTCTGCAAGATAAGGTTTATTGCTCGAATAGTGGGCCTAGTATATTTGTTATCCTGTTTATTGTTCCGGCCTTTGTATTCGGGTGTATTTTAGTTTTTTCTTTTCTTTGTTCCGACCATTTGAAACTTTTTCTTTGGTTTTCCTCGAAATGGCTTTGGTACCACAAATAATCATCGGAATGGGTGGAGTGATATATCATTTAAAAGCCCTTTCAGTCGTGATTTGACCAGTAACGAGAAAAACTGGTTGAAAATTTTTGGTTTTTAGTCTTAATTCGAGCGAATAAAGCGAGCATGCAGGCTAACAATAGCTTAAATTAAGCCGTGACAACTTAGTTTTACTCGAAAAAAGTTGAGTTTTAAAGTTTTTTAGCGCCTTTTGGATTCAAAATTTTTGAAATTTTTACATTTTTGTTTGTTTTTCTAGTCATTTTTTTGTAAAACTTGTTGTCCAGTTTGCTTATTTTTTTAAGAAAGTGGAATATGCCCTAGAATATGCAAAAAGAGGCAAAATGAAGGATAATTATTACAATTTGAGTGTTTTGGTAGGGTGCGGCGTCTGTGCCACACGATCATCATCCACCCCTACTTCGGCAACTTCACCCTAGTCTGCATCATGGTTTCCAGCTCACTCCTCGCTGCCGAGGACTCCGTCAACTCAGACTCTCCCCGCAACTCGGTAGCTCCAATTCAATTTAGAATATTAAGTCGCATCTGTTGGTAGCCTCTATAAGGCAGAGATTTCTTCGGTCTCTAAACCATGAAATAAGCCTATATCCATTACATTTACTAAAACATGTTTCAAGTTACAAAATATTTCAGGTAAAACTCAAATTATATAATACTGATATATATTTTATTATAATTTTTTCAAGCATTTTTTTCTTGTGTTGAAATAAAACCTTGTTTAATGATGCTGAAAATTTAGGTTCACAATAAAAAAATTTGGAGAAATACAGAACGAGCCTGTTGATTACAAAATTTTCAAACAATTTGCTTGTGGTTAGATATATTACTTACACTCAGATTGTATTTTTTTTTTCGTTTCTCTGCCGACACGAAATTTTCTTTGATCATAATCGTTTCACTTTTTCATTTCTCTCTAGATTTTGAAACTGTTCGACTACTTCTTCACTGGAGTGTTCACCATTGAAATCATCCTGAAGGTACTAGCCTATGGCTTCATCCTGCACATTGGTGCCTTCTGCAGAAGCGGCTTCAACCTCCTCGACATCCTAGTCGTCGGAGTCTCACTCATCTCCATTTTCGCAAGGTTCGTCAAACTCTTTCTCATTTATATGTTTTTAAGAGTCGATGAACGTAGTTCAGACTCTTATATAGGTCGCGATGATTGTTTTCCTTTGATTTCAGGAAAAGTCTGAAAATTAGTTCAAGCTCAAATATAATTTTTTAGCGGTTTGACTTTTGATTTCTTTTCAAGTTCAGTTCATTTCCTTCGTTAAAAGGAAGGCAAACACCCTTATCGAAAGCGGCGTTGAATTTTCAGATTTCCCAGCGAAATAAAAATTATACTTATTGATCCAGTTTTCTCAAATTGGGTTACTTTTATGAAAAAGTGCCAGTCATACATTTGATCTAGAAATTCAAAGATCTTGAAGGGCATAAATTTTTTTCTTCAAATTTTGAAAGTCCGTTTTTTTGTTTACTTGCGTTCATTGACTCTGTTCGACGCTGTTTTATAATGTTTATCATTCGAAAGAAGAAATTTTTCTCAGATTTTACTGCATGCCTCGAAATTCGGATATTATGTATGGCTTTAGATCATACGACATGGGATGTTGCAGCATGTGAAATCTTGTCATATCAGGTTTTTTCAGTATCAAACCCTTTGAAGAAAATACCCCATAATTTTTTTGCGCGGCGTACACCTCTTTTCGTTGTCGGTTTTTAAAATTTCGCAGATTCCATTTAATCATTTGATAAGAGAAATCGCGGATGGTTGATATTGCAACTTCTAATATCTGTGTATCATTAAGAATACGATGTGCATGCTTGAATCCTTTAATGCTTCTGTAACTAATTTTTCAATTATGCTTCAGCTCCGATACGATTTCGGTTGTCAAAATCCTGCGTGTGCTAAGAGTGCTCCGTCCGCTTCGAAGCGTAAACAGGGTGAAAGGCCTGAAGGTGAGTGCAGTTCAGTTTCAAATAAAATTACATCCTGCCTCTATTTGTCCTTTTTTCTTTCTGCCATCTGCCTAATTGTTTTTCATCTCATGTTTTAAGTCCCAGTGGGGCAAAAAGGGTTTTATTGCTGTTTTTTTACAAGGCACCATTTTTTCCTGCCTTGTTTTTCATTGAATCTGCGTTAGTTTTTAGATAATCAATTTTATGTTGCTCCATTCAAAATAAGTAAGCATATGGGCTTAAATATAAACCTCTCAATTCATGGTTTGAAATTCAAAAAGGTTCAAATGCATATGTGGGTTGAAATTTGCTGTCAACAAAGCAATTTGTTTGTCAATAAAAGGTATAAACAAAGTTCAGCTGCCTTTTATACCGTGACACCGCCAGCAGATCAATAATTCTGACGCTAATCTGAATTTTAATGCCATATGAGTATCCGTGATTATTGCTAGGTGAGGTTTTCCCTCTTTTGTTTCTTTCTGTTGGAAAAACCTTGTCTCTGAATGAACTTCAGCGGCTTTTGTGACTACGTATCACTAAGCAGACCAACTTAAGAGAAGATTCATGACGATGCCAATAACCTAATGCAGTTGCGATGAGTTCGTCATTATGAAGAACTCACTCTGTCTGATTTTATTTTTGAGAAGAATTTTTGGACCCATAATAGTATTGAACCAGATATGCGAATCATTATTGCTCCAATACTTTGAAGAAAAGGCGTATAAAATTGTAAACTCGGTTTTAACTATTTTTCCTGCTGCGTATTTTGAATTTTTTTCACAAAAGTAGATTTCTTCGAACTAATTGTCTAGCTTTTGTCAAGTATCAACTTAAGTCTATCGATCTAATGCTTATTTTAACCATCGTCTTTTTCCGTCTTGAGACGTAGACCAAAGTGGTCATTTATTGCTGAATGGTGGTGGTGGTGGTTGTGGTTGCAACTGCACTGCCGTGCAATGAAGGGAGTAGTAGCTTTGACGTCTTTTCTTGTATGATGGGACCAGGTGGTCTCAAATATGTCCCCCCTTGCTTCCTCCCTTTTTCTTCCCAGACGCATCCTATTGGGACTGGTCTAATTTTAAGTCAAAACGATGAACGATGTACACTCCTTGTTCATGCATATCAAACCATATGCGCCACTGTTTTAATTTTAAGAACAATGTGATCTTTTTTAATCATTAAAACGTCAAATTTCGCTATGAACGTGTCTAAAATTGAATCAAAAACTTCAAACAGCATTTCAATTAGTTCTCAAAAACATTTTCATTTATCAAAAACCGAAATATGTGTACCAAAAGATTCAGATTTTACTGAAAATCATGATTTTATCTGACTTTTAGCTTTTTTAAATAACTGCAGTTTTTCCGTTTTTCACAAATGATTCCTCCGATTTTGGATCATTAATTTGATAGAGAATATATGGATTGTGACTGCTCCTGAATCATTATGAAGCTTTTATTTAAAAAAAGTCGTAGTCGCTCCGCTTCCCCTCTTGGTAAAAATATAAAAATCAACTTATAACACGGGCGAAGCGGAGCTACGCATTTTTTGCGATACGACATAAAAATAGCATAGCAAGCTAGTTAACAGGAACGAAAACGATAGCCACTTAGTCCAAAAACATTGAAAAAAAATCGAAAAAACTACAACTAAAACTTAATGATGCTCTATATGCGGAAAACTCGTCCAGAAATACAGTCAACTATATGTCTTATAAAAATCCAAGAACTTTTATCTAGCGAAAACTCAACCGACAAAAATAGAGTAAATTCCATTCGAAACGAAAGCAAAAGGTTTTTAGCATTTTGTGCAATACAGAGGGGAGCATAAAAATTACGTTATCATTGAAACGACTCAACAATAGGTCAGTAAGTTGATAAAATATAGGCCGAAATCATCTGGGCAGAATAAAAATTTTAGTGAAAAAAAAACAGAAAAAGAAAATATACGAAGGCTTTGTTAGTAAATTTACAAACAGCAGAAATCAATCAAAACACCAAAAGCAACTTTAATGTAAATCCCGTACAAAAAAATAATTGTACGATGTGAAAAATGAGCCGACGAAACATAAGCAGACAAATAAAAAACCGGTTATTTTTTGAAGCGGGTTGTTCGAAAGATTCTTAACCGTCCAAGGCGTATTTGTTTCCTCCAGACCAAATGTGCCGTATATGCAAAGAAATATGAATTCATTCTGGTTTAAAGTACCACTAGGAGATGAGTCCTGTGAACATAGTGATTGACGGGCAAAAAAGTCTAGTATCAGGATATTTTCATAAATCAGGATATTTTCATAAATCAGCATATTTTAATCAGGATATTTTCATAAATCTATTTTCATAAATCTGCTAACTTTTCGGTATAAAATTAACCATGATTTTAACTCCAGCTTACCTGAAGAAAAAGTCAATTTGAAACAAAATTGCAGCTAAAGCGGAAAACACGTCCAGAAACACGATCGAAGGTGTTTAATGACAATTCGAAAACAATTATTAACCGAACCTAAATTTACGATTTCTAATTTTGATCATTCTGTGAACAAAGTTGTTCATAGGAACAAAAAGTCTACCCGATTTCAATATCCTTGCTGATTGCAAGGGTAATAAATTAGATACGCAAAACTTCAATTTTAAGAACTTTCTGATAAAAAAATTTTGATACCTGAATTTTCGAACGAAATTGTCAAAAAATAATTTTGAGTTAACTCTGTTCTTCTTAGTTTTTAACACAGAGAGCAGAAAAAAATCCGTTTGTGGCACCAATTGGAGACCAATATTGCTCGCAGTATCTGGTGTTGGTAAACGTAATTCAATTATTTTATTTACATCAGACTCTTAATTTGTTGCTACATGCTTGAATTCCGAAGGCGGTAAATTTTTATTTTTTAAAGCTCCTTTACTTACTTTAGCAATTTCTTACAATTTGAAAGCTTTTCTGGGCCATATTTTTGCTTGCCTGCGAAGTACAGCTTCGCTTATCTGTTATCTTCTTACTAAACGAACAAGCGGGATTTTGTTTCAATTTTTTGGTAAAACAAAACTGATGTGAAACTCGAGCGGCTGCCTGAAAAGACAATCTCAGCTGTCATCTTTTCATTAGTCTCAAAGATATGCATGTAATCCTATCTTAAACCAGCTGCTGTACCTTCTAGGTATCATTTTGAATATTCAATTGAAATATTTCTTTAAAAGTTGGTAAAATGCGAGAAAATTAGGAGGAATATTGTCTAATTATGTACTGCTTGAGCCAATGAATGATTGATATGATTAAATAATTCATCAAAATGAATATTTAATTCAGCTTCAAATTGGTTTAGAAATTTAGATTTTTGATCGTTTTGTAGCACGTAGTACAGTGCGTGATTGTGGCACTGAAAACGATCGGCAACATAGTGCTGGTCATGTTTTTGCTGCAATTCATGTTCGCAGTTATCGGAATCCAACTGTTCAAGGTGAAGTTTCGAATCTAATTGAGTAGACGCGATGACGATATAAAACTCGTACAGTCGTGACTAAATCGCGCAATTGTCAGATTTGCTTTTAATTTTAACTAATCAAAATAAATTTAAAAATAATCGTGAAAGTTTCTTAACTTTCTGATGTCATAGGTCACTAAATGGTGTTTTTGTTGCATAATTTTAACTCCCTGAATTAACTAAGACAGTATAAGAAGCGTTTTTGTTTATGATGCCCAGTCACTAATTTTTTGCTTCTTAGCTGCTCAGTCACCAAAGTGTTACCAGTTATAACTACTTCTTAACTATCTGTTTATCTGCTCATTTCATAACTAACCAACTAACTATTGCCGCTATGTGGTTTTCTAGCACGTGGTGCAATGTGTGATCGTGGCCATCAAGACCATAGGCAACATCATGCTCGTCACTTGTCTCCTACAGTTCATGTTCGCCGTGATAGGCGTCCAGCTGTTCAAGGTATAACAAAACTACTCACTCCTTCTTATCTATACTCAACCTTTTTAACTAACTGATTAATAACTAGTCATAACTCTTTAATTTGACTACTTCGCTGGTTCGTAAACATACTAAGTGTTTTTCAACGTTTGAAAATACCTTTGATGTGATTTAAAGCAAAAATTGGGCCAATTTTCAAAAGCAGTCTAGCTAGTTATGAATGAAAAAGAACCTAAGAGCTGAAAAATTTCTTTGTTGAAAAAAAAAATTGCAATTCAACGGCAATATTTTTATTTTTGGTCAGTTTGTATCATAAATGACTAATCGGTGAACTGAAATGGTTTTACCTAGTAGATTCTGCGAAGCATTTGCGAAGATAATCGCGATTTAAAGCGATTACCGGTGATTTAATCATTCAGCGAATTTGCGGACTTAAGAATAATTGATAGATTAAATCGGGTTTTAAATTTTTAAATAAATGTAACTGAATTGGTGGTTTAGGGCACTTTCTACGCCTGCTCAGATGCCATGAAAATGGAAGCTTCCCTTTGCCAGTTAGTATTTGTTTTTATCAGTTTAAGAAATCTCAAATGAGATAAGATATTCTTTGAAAACACGTTTCAAGCGGAAGCTAACGAATTTGCATATTATCAGTTTTTGGTCTCGTGACTAATGAAGTTTTGCAAAAAAATGGGTAGATACGCAATAAATAGTAAATTTAGAAAGTGATATTAGCTATGGTAAACATGCGATGATCTACAACAATATCCGATTGCTTTTCAAGTAGCACAGACTGTTCCGACTATAATAATGAAAAATAAAAATTCAAAATAAGAAAAAATATTTTAAAAAAAACGAAAAAAAAAAATTTAAAAAATCGAACACAAGCGAAAGGGAACATTGAAAGATAGGAATAGAAAAGTGACGGAAGCAACAAAATCGAAAATATATATATATTCGATTCTTATAAAACAAAGATAAACTTAGACACAGAGGCGAAACTAAGCTCCGCGCCACTTGCGATACAAAAAATGACGGTAATTAAAATCGAATGAAAAAAAAAATCGTTTTTGTTTGGAAAAAATTATAGAAATTGCAACAAAAGCCCAATATAATTAAAGCGAAATAATATGCACTATCAAAAAAATTTAGAATACTAGAAAGAAGCCGACAAAAATAGTTATAAGAAAACTTTTTCTGCGGAATTAAGCCGACAAAAATAAGCAGAAACCATAATCTGAACTATCTGAAAAATTTCTGTTTGCAAAAAAACTGGTCTCGACTGGAATTGAACTCCCGGGCTTTGTTGGCTCAAGCATGGTTGCTACAGTTACTCGAAAGAAATCTAAACTTGGGCTACCGGAACTAAGCCGACAATAATAAACGTCCCAGCCGGATTCGAACTTCAAGCGTTTGCCGTCTCAAGCAGTTGGTGTTACCTCTACGCCAGATTCAACGGGTGGTTGATTGAATCTGACTTGAAAGTTACTAAGCGGTAACAAAGACGAAAGTTCTGAGCAGAAATTTTTGATAGCAAAAACTCAAAAAAGTTCCAAATTTAAAAAATCCTTCTTCTTCTAAGAACACACACGCCCACAAAAATTTCTTTTGGTCATCAAACGACGCAATAAGAAGCCACTAATTCGATATAAAATAAGCCGAAACTTACAAAGCCGAATGACAAAAAATAAAGAAAAAACGAAATTTTATCAACTAAAGTTGGTAAAATTACAACCATCATAAACAGCCTAAACATTTTTCATTCATCTACTGGGCCTTTCTGTTGCAGGAAGAAATAATTAGCACATGTTCGCATTTTAAATGGCCGGCCTAATTTCGATAAGGCCGGCCATTCAAAATGCGAACATGTGCAAATTATGTCTTGTTGCAACAGAAAGGCCCAGTAGATGAATTAAAAATATTTCAGATTCGCTTTTATTTAAGATATAGAATTCATTTTTGAGATTATTTCTTTCAAAACATAAATTATAAAAAGCAGCTTAACAATGGTTGAACTTGAAGCTTTATTCATTTTTTTTGAACATTTTTGACGCAGCCGAGCCGCCGCTGCTGAGTCAAAATAGCTATCATGCCGCTGCCTATCAAATTTTCATTGGCACTCTCATCTGTAATTAACGTTGCCTCCATATTATAAAGCATTGTTTGTTGTGTTTAGGGGCAAGTACATAGTGTTCAAGAATGGAGACTTGGACAGTCCGATTGTGATGGACAGGGAGTGGAAAGTGAACGAATTCAACTTCGACAACGTCTTCCTGGCCATGCTCTCGCTATACACTGTCATGACATTCGAGGGGTGGCCACAGTAAGTTCAAACTCTACTCTGCTGTTTTGTACAATTTGTTACGATACGGATATTATGAAGAAACATGAGAAAGTGAAAAAACATGGAGTGAAAATGCAGGACATTCATTTCGACTGTGACGACTTACTTAGTTTACTTCTTAGTGTGTTACATGCTTTTATGCAATTTTAAGAGTAAGCAAAGTATATTTACTTGAGGAATTTCTAGATTTGAATATTTAAGTTTTGAAAAGTTTTAGTTGTAAATAATAAAAATTCAAAATATTAAATTGAAATATTGTCAAATCAGATAAAATGATAAGTGTTTCTCTAATTGCGAAAGTATTTGACCTAAGCGGGATTTGAACATTAACTCTCCTCTATTTTCTTAAGATTGCTGTACAAGTCGATAGATTCTCGTGCACCTGACATTGGACCTATAAACAACTACCGACCAGTGGTTGCCATCTTCTACTTCATCTACATCATCGTGATCGCATTCTTCATGGTCAACATCTTCGTCGGTTTCGTCATCGTCACCTTCCAGTCCGAGGGAGAGCAAGAGTACAAAAACTGTTAGTAATATAAACCTTGAAATCATCGTTAGAGTAGCAATGATAAAGTGGTTACGTCTCCGCCTCTCAATCGACAAGTCGGATGTTCAAAGCCCACCACGATCCATGCGCGTTGCTTGTGGGTGAGACAACATTACCCAGCCCCGAAAAATAGCCACAAAAAATTGCATATAATTTTTAAGCAGAGGCGTAACAGCGGTTCTCCTGATGAGCTGTACAGCTCATATCTCGATCTTTTCCCATGTAGCTTGTGGATAAATCGTCTTAACCTCGTTTAATAGTAGTGCGACAGTCATACTTACGAAATAAAGCAGATCAAGTTAACATCCTCCCCCCCCCCCCTTTATTACTTAGAAGACTTGTAGTTGTTGCAACTTTCAAATCGATGTTTTCCGATACGGCAGAAAAGTTCAATTTAGGACGAGGAGATCAATTTAGGAAGTTCAATTTTTTCTGTTTTTTTTTGTAATTTGGGGCTTTCAACTTGAATACTCTTGCATCTTTTTCTTTTCCTCTGTAGGTGAGCTGGACAAGAACCAGAGACAATGTGTGGAGTTTGCACTAAAAGCGAAGCCACAGAGGAGGTATGTTCCCACCAACAGACAGCAACTGAGGATATGGAAACTGGTGACGTCACAGCCCTTCGAGTATCTCCTCTTCGTCCTCATCATGGTCAACACCATATTCCTCGCCATGAAGGTCAGTCACTGCGGTTAATTTAGATGATTCAATTTATAAACACCAACTACCCCCCCCCCCCTCTCCAACCCCACCCCCTTCTCCGTTTTTAGAACCCAGTATTATATTAGCTGTGCAGTAGTGAGACCCTATTACAGCTACATCCATTTCATTTTTGGCCAACAATCCTATTTTTTTTTCATTTTTTCTAAACACGTTTTGGTGCCAATATTCTCTATTTAAAAAAATCGCGCGCCACTGAAAATGCGGTTTTTGGCTGGAAAATTTATGCAAAATACGGTCATTCTAGGCTTCGATTTGGTTGTCCCGATTTTCAGAAAACCGCCCGGCAAAAAAATTATGTACAAGCCACCGATTGGTTCCATTATATAATTTGTAACCAAATGGTGCCAAATCTCTTCATCCGAACTCTCCTAAAACAAGTTCTGAAAAATAAATATTTTCTTGATGAAAAAGTTGCACTTGGTATGATATTAAGATAATCAGTGCACTTTCGCGCATGGTTCTAAATTGCCCAAACAGCTGCCTCAAACAGCAAACAGTCAGGATGCAATCGCATTCACATATTTGATGTGTGTTTAGTTTCACAATCAGCCTGCGGAGTACGAGTACGTGTTGGACATCATGAACATGGTGTTCACAGTCCTCTTCACAATCGAATTCGTCCTCAAGGTCATCGCATTCAACCCAAAGGTAACAAATCCACCCACCCACTAGACTTCTACGTGCTTTTTTTGCTTTCATCGTATGATTTTAATTGATTTAGGATCGTATGGCATGGGCGGTACTGGCATGGGGATTCTGGTATGGTACCTAATGATCCCTCGCCCTGACTAAAACAGTTGCATTTTTATTGCTTCGCGGATGATTGATTGATATTTTGCAAAATTAGTCTAACATTCAGTGCAAACTATGGTTGAATTAAAAAAGTTTTCATATGTTAAAATGTTGGTTGAGTTATGTTGGTTGAGTCTTGGAGGTTTGATACTTCTTTGATGATTATTAAATTTTTAAGTTGAGAACCGTATCAAAAACATAGACAAGTTCAGTTTGAAATATGAGAACTATGCCAAAGTTAGAACTATGCTAAAATTAAAAATAATTTTGAACTAAATTCAATTCGCGGGGGATCAATAACCTTCCCAATTTTGGGGTTTACGATTTGATGGTCCGCTGTTTAAATGACTATTTTAGGTAATAACTAACGTTTTTCTACAACCGCCAGATTATTTGATCACCTGGCTGAAAAGAAAAACACACTGATCTGAATAGAGTTTACGTCAACTGGGTGTAATAATTGGAGGTAATAAACTGACCGCACTATGTTTGAAGTGCATCGCTTGCCTTTGTCGCTCTAAAATTGATTATTTTACGTTATCTTTTTCATGGTGCGATTTGTCAAGATAAATAATTCGATTTTCCTGGCAATCACACGGCGTATAACATGCAAATTAGCTAAAAACGTCTTTGGATGCTGAGGGTGAGTTATGGTTTACGGAATGGTTCATATTTTTTCAGTTTTGTCCGTTAAAATCACGTGAAATAAGTGCGCCATGGAAATAGGACATGAAACCATTTAAATACTGATTGTAGTGTCGAAAATGAATTGATTACACAGGCGAAGCAGAGCATCGCACCTTCTGCGATGCAACACAAACATGGCACGGTAAGCTAGCCGAAAATAAATGAGACGAAAGTCACTAAGTCGGATTTGTTTTCATAGGTTTGACACGAATGAAATTCAAGTTGAGGTGAACAAGTCGATACTAACAATTGCTAGCGATAAATTTGCATCGAGACAAAACCTACCAGGAAGAAACTAAGACGACGATACTTGGGTAGACGCCGGCTTAGCCGAATAAAAAATACAGGCAGGAACTAAGACGATGATACTTGGGTAGACGCCGGCTTAGCCGAATAAAAAATACCACCTGAAGCCTAATCAAGGAGGTGTTATCCTGATGGTGGTTGTAAAATTAAGTTATAATTATAGGATCAGATGTTTAAACTTGTGTGCCTTTTCAGAACTATTTTAACGACTCGTGGAACGTGTTTGACTTTATCATTGTGCTGGGCAGTGTCATTGACATCACCTATTCCGAATGGAATGTGAGTCATATGGGGCCACGCCCTGCTTTATTTTCACACCTTATTCACACATCTTTTATATTTAAACAGAACTACTTCGCTGACTCATGGAATGTCTTTGACACTCTGATTGTACTGGGAAGTGTCATTGACATTACCGTGGCAGAGGTCAAAGTAAGTATGTGATGTAAAATACATATTGGGGGCGTAGCTTTCAGCATGTGTGTCGGTTAGCATGTCCATATTTATTGCTTCAGTTAAGTGTTCAATTGGACAGAACTGTAGTTGATCGATTTCCATTTACATATTAAAAAGAAGGAAAAATTAACTTAAGAATTGGAAAAATTAAGATATAAATTCAAGTTGTTCTAATTCGCATCGTTCCCTAATAGCGCATCTTGGCCAGGGTGATCATTTGGTCTGCTAATTTACCAGCTAGTTTTAATATCTTTAGAATATTTTGGTCAGTGTCTTTCACAGTACATCTGTTTTGAGTTGTGATTCTAAGGATGCTAATTTGTATAAGGGGGACAAACCATACCTCATCTATTCCTGAGTTATCATTATGGCATTTTGTTGTTGCAAATTTCTAGAAAACAAAACATAGAGCATTTTTAAATATTCTCATTTTTGTGGGCGGGGGTTTGGTTTGATATTTTAATCTCTGGTCTCTTCATTGTACAGTGCCAAACGCGACGATGAGTAAACAAAGATGAAAAATTGAAATATTCTGATCCGTTTTTCTCTATAGCGGTAGTTTTTTGATATTTTCATAGCAGCTCGATTCATGACGGCTTTGATATGATAGATCAGATGTCACTATGTGACATTTTGTCGTAATAACTGAATTTGCGAAGGCGGCAGAATGGAAACCAATTTTTTTTCAATTTAGGTGCTCGGAACAATAAGTATTATCAATTATTTTCCGAATTTTATCTTCGTTCGATATGAAACTTAGTTTGAGTGGCCAGATTGTTTTAAAATATGCAATGAAGTTCATTGATTTTAAAATAACTCAAAATCCTCTCTTGATCTATTTCGGTTTGGCGAGTTTTGGGCTCTTTTAAGAGGAAAAATGATATTCTTGTCATACTGAATTGTTCACCCTGCCCTGATCTAGGTTCATCATCATCATCATCATCATCATCATATCAAAAGAATCATCAACTAATTGCAAAGTTATCATTAATTAATATTCCTCATGCTAATGAACACACATGCTAAATGCTAAAGTCGACGATAGACAGACCCTAATAGACGGGTCCTATCACGCGAAATCGTCTTATCTAGCCAGCTCAAGCGAATAATTGAGTTGCCGCCTTCGATAAACTATCGACTATCTGAATATATTTACATTTTAGCTATAAGGCAACTAATGAAAAATTTGAAAGGAATAACTTCAAAAAAGAAACTTGTCAGAAACAAGCTCAAACTGCATAAATGGCAAAGCCTAATTTCTCGCTGCTGGCTATAATTGGTTCGTGGAATTGACAAACAACACCTTAGTTTGGTTCTTCTGTTCATCAACTGTCGTGCCATGTACTAATCAGCTCGGTTCAGTTTATTTGTCTGCTGTTTGTCATAATTTACTAATGGGCTTTCATTTCTCTACTAGAAGGTCAACTTTCTTTCTGGAAAGAAATCGAAAGCTAGTTCTATTAACTTTCGACTTTCAAAATCCGAAACTTAGAATACGGGTACTCCTGTTCAATAGATCCAATTCACGACAAACCAATTGTACTTTGAAAGCCTAAAGTCTGCGTTTAATGTCAGACAAGAGTTAAATAACCATTAAAATATTATTTTGTAGTGAAAACTCGCTGATTACCAAAAATCAGATCGATCTGATGAGCAAGACCCCTATAGTCTATCGTGGTTTAAGTTCTGTCATGTAATTTTCAGTTTCCTTACTTTTCATGACTGACCTTTTAAACGACTGTTCTCAGCTCTCATTAATTCAATCTAGCAGAATGATTTCATTTACTAAACTTAGCCGAAAGACCTCATTAACTGAAGTGATGTGTGTTTAAGTACAAGTACTTGGACTTTGAGTCGTTGCCTTTACCTGAGACTAGTCCCTACTTGGTGGTAACTTCTATCTTTCTATCTATCGTGTGGAGTAGCAGTACCAGTAGCGCCATCGCATACAGAATTCGAGATTCAGTCATGCACTGGTTTTAAATTAGATGACAGCATACGAAATGCACTGGCCTAAAAGTGTGACACATTTTAGTGTTTTCTTTATAAACGGTTGTAATGAACGCAGTGAATTTTCACTTATTTGGGTCATTTTTAAATCAGGAAAAAATGAAAATTTGTTCACGCTCATTTTCTATTTTGGAGTTTTGATGTCTGAGCTTATTTTCAAGCTAACTTCGCCAAATGGAAAGCAAACTACGCCGCTATCCAGTAGTAAAACTTGCAATGCATGAAAATGGAGGTTAAGCTAGAGTTTCAAACGTGGGTTATATTTAATTTTGTGAATTCCGCTGAAAGAAAACAATTACTCTTTTATCCGTTTTCCTCAAATTGGGTTAGTTTCACGAAAAAGTGTCGAACATAAAAGAATCTGAAAATTGAAAGAGAATGTTTAAAAACCAAGTCGTTTTTTAATTTTCTGCAGTCCATTTTTTTCTAACTGGCTGTGGGCTTGTTTTCCGCACCTTATGTGACTTTCAATAATAAACATCAGATAGGCTACAGTCGTATATCATTTTGCTGAAATTTTAGTAATGATTTGAGCTGCATGAAAGCAAAATACGCTTTCCAATAGCAAGAGATCGACTTAATGTTTCAAAGCTTGATTTAAATTTTAGAAATCCTGGTGGATTAAAAAAAAATTACTATGAATTCAGGTTTTCAAATTGAGTTACTTTTTTTGAAAAAAGTACTTTTCCTTTGAAGCAAAAATATGAAATAGTTTCAAAAACGTAGTTCTTTTGGTTCCGCTGGGTGCATTAACTCTTTTAAAAGCCTTAAGATTAATGCACTAACATTTAGTTTTTGCTGGAAACTGTTTTCTGGCTACGTGTTCAGCAATCTTTTACTTCGTCAAGCTTTTTTCGCGCTCAAAGGTTTCCTTTACCCTAAAAATTGTTAAAATACAAAAAAATGTTGATTTTTTCTCGACTTTTTAATATAATTGCAAAGAGAACTGTGGTTTTAAATGTTTTATGCTACAGCTATCAAAATTAGTTTGGAAAAGTTATTTCTCAAGTGAATTGAAGACAAATTTTGAACTTTTTTGAGATGTATTGATACAGCTGAGAGCATTTCGTGATTTTTTGTGCGATTCAGTTTCTTAAAAAACTTGCTCAATTCAAGAAGAGTATCTTCTCCAAAAGTTCCTAGATTAACGTAAGTTTTGAATTTTTTGCTTTCAAACTATTCGATCTAATTAAGTGCTAATGAACGAAGTAACTTATCGCTTATTTAGGTTTTGGTTTTAAAGTTACAAAAACCTTTTGATTCAGCTTTTCTCAAATTGGGTTAATTTTAGCAGCAAAAAATGTCACAATTTTGGACAAAGGTTAAAATTTGAATAGATTTAATGTGATATATTTTTTGTTTGAAAGTCAATGATTTTTTTGGTCTTTCTGAGTTCATTCACACTTTTCCAACAGTCTGTTGATTATGTCCTTGTTTTTATTTGCGCAGAACAAAAATTGGTTACCAACACCAAAATTGCAACCATAAGCCATAGTTGCGCGCTAAATTTGAAGCGCAACAAAAAACTAAATAAATCTAACTTTCGACAAAATTTAGGATATATTACACTTTTTTTATCATTCGAACACCTGTCTCTTGATTTGATGTGTTATATTTCTCTTAATATCTTCAGTCTGACATGAAAAAAAGCACCATAACGTATGGTAAAAACACAATGTGAACAAAACAAGCATGAAAAATTGATTTCTAAGTTAGCATACATTTGATCTACTTCCTGTGTTGGCATTTTGAATGAGCGAACGTAATCTATTCACCGAACGGTCACTTGACCTAAATAAATTAAAAATTTTTAGGCTAAATCGTTTCTATAAACCTCAAAAATTTTTCGCTTCATTTGTGTAAGTCAAAATTGAAGATTGTTTAGCTAATGTGCCAAGTTAAAAAACAGACTAATTGTGTAAAAGAGTGTCTCTTGCATTTTTGCTGGCCACCGACTAATTTTTAATTTTAGTTAAATGATCTTCGGCTAACAGAGTCGATGCAAAAAATTGAAATCGCAATTCAAAAAGCAACCTGCAGTTTTCCACAATACGCTTACTTCCTCTAGAAGAGGGTTTAATTATTAAAAGCGCCCCGCAGTTTACCGTCACAATTGGCTATAAGTAAAAATTAACGAATTCAATGACGCGTTTATGAAGAAAAATGAATGGAATACTTGGTACTACTTTGCCATAAAAATGAGCATGATGATTTGCTCGACAAAAATAGACCATTGTTAAAAAAATCGATTATATGTTAAAATGTTCTGAAATTTACCCATGGGAACTTTTAACTAAACGGCTGGGATTGGCATATTGGCTTAATCAGATTAAAGGCAGTTAAATAAAAGGCTGCGAAATCAATAACATTAAAGCCGTTAAAATCTATAATTAGAAGGGAAGGTATTTCATTCTTGTTGCTTTTAGGTTAACTTGACCTGATTCTTTTTTTTTCAGGACGAAAGGGTGAAAATTAATAGCTATTCTATTCAATTCCTTCATTGCTGAGCTTGATTCAATTTATCAATGGTGTTTTAACAAGGGTAACATTCCATGTCGTTAAGCTTAAAATTGGCTGGATTTAAAGCTGGAAATTGTTTTGAATCGAAATGTACTAGAAGGCAGATCATACACGCTTTCTCGAGAACTGGCTTAAAATTTTTAAATCACTGTTTAGCAAATTTTAAAAGTTTTTTCTTAGATCAGTCTAATTGACGGAAAATTTATAATAATCAATTAGATTTTGAATGCACTGAGTAGCTTTGTAGAGGATATTGGCAAAAGGACTCAGAGCGACCTATATTAGTGATCTCATTTGTCTTGGGAACATATTAACACACTTGATACCTGTCCTTCGAGATACTTGATTTGATGGATCTTGTAAACTATCCTCATCCCTGATTTATAAGGGGGTTAATTCGCTAAAGTACAAAATTTGTATATACTGAACAGTTGAGTTAGTCTTTTATAGGGGGTAATGTTTTACGAGGTAGCATAGGAGGGGGGGGGGGGGTGGTTGGTAACAAGATCCGGTTTGATTGGTTGACTCTGCTAACTAGAGTGACTGCTAGATTGAACGGGGTGGATAGCTGTTGTGTCTTCACGCGTTCTTTAGTTCAAAATTAATTTCATTCAAATTTTTTTCATCTGAATCACACTTCAATTTGAGTCATTGTCATAATCACAAACAACGTGATGTTCAATTGTTTCGATAACTTTGTTTGAAATATTTTTGTTTTAGAAATAAAACGTCATATTGTTTTCAGCCTGATGCCAATTTGGTCAGCATCAACTTCTTCCGACTGTTTCGGGTCATGCGTTTGGTTAAACTCCTCAGCAAGGGCGAAGGCATCAAGACTCTCCTCTGGACCTTCATCAAATCATTTCAGGCACGATTCAAGAACTTTCTAGAATTGTCTCTCTTTTGCAGTGTGAAAAGATTGGAATTAATTTTTGAACTTAAAAAATTGAAGTTAATTTTGTATTCCAGGCGCTGCCTTATGTAGCACTGCTCATAGTGATGTTGTTCTTCATCTACGCTGTGATCGGTATGCAAATGTTTGGGAAGATCAGAAAAGTGGAAGGCACATCTATCAATGAAAACAACAACTTTCAGACATTCTTTGCTGCTATCTTGGTTCTCTTCCGGTAATTATCATCATTCATTACCCCTGTGATAAGCAAGGGTGTTGCAATCGGGTACTACACTTTTTAAAACTGTAAATAATTTTATTCACAGAATGTAAAAAACTAATAGTAAATTTGGGTTCAGTTTATATTGAATTCAAATTTCATTGCGTCTGCGGCACACTTGGCCTGGAGGTAACGAATACGCCTGGGACGGCAAGGGTCTTGGGTTCAAATCTGACAGGATCAATTTTTTTTCGAACGGGAAACATTCCGTTTCAAAAAAATTATCGGCTTATTAATTGTCTGCTTGTGTTCATATTATTGTCTGCATTTGTATCCAGTGAGCACAAAATTACGTTTGCCTTGAAACAGCTCAAAATTAGGTCACTAAGCCGACTTCAATTGGGCAGAATAAAGTTTAAGCGAAATAAGAGGAAAATATATGAAGTCAAGAAATTACAAACAGCAGAAGTAAATCAACAATTAAAAGCAGCTACAATGTGAAAAGCGTACAAAAAACAATTTTACGATGTAACATTTCAGTCGAAAATATTTGCTACATCGTAAAATCGTTTTTTGTACGCTTTTTACAGTGTAGTTGCTTTTAGTGTTTTGATTTACTTCTGCTGTTTGTAATTTCTCGAGCGAAGGGGGAGTCTTGAGGGGAAAGAGACTTGTTACCTTTTTTTAATTTTAAGTATTGTTGATTTTTTTCTGCTTAGAAGGTTTCTGCTTAAGTATTTTCGGCTTTGTTACCGCTTGGTAAAATTTCTTCAGCTTTGAATTGCAATTTCTATTTTCGTGGTTTTCTGTTGTCTTGGCATCTTTATGTTTCAAAACTAGCCTGATTCATTTTGATACATATAGTATTTTCGACATTTTTGATTTTTTTCCTCCGACTTAGCGGCTTTCTGGTTATGTATCGCAAGTGGTGCAAAGCGCAGCTTCGCCTCTGTGTAAACTATCTATCGATTTGCCGAAATTTTTTCAAATAAGCTGCAGTCAAAATCATGGTTTATTTCATACTGAGCATTAAATAGATTTCTGAAAATACTCTGATTACCCCTGCTTTTTGCAAGTGTATTGTAACCGGGTACTAGTTTTTTTCCCTGTAATAAATTTGTCCACATGACTCATCTAGACTCAGCACACAGCCTGAAGATGAGGAATATACCTGGGACGGTAAAGGTCCTGTGTTCGAATCTGACAAGGACCTGTTTTTTTTTCAAACGGGAAGTTTTCTATTTCAAATATAATAATCTGCTGATGTTTACTCGGCTTAGTTGTCACATTTTAGAATCGTCATTTTTCTGTTTAATTATAGTCGTTTTTAGTTTTTGATTTACTCCTGCAATTTCACTTACCTTGACTTCGTTTTTCCTTTTTTGTTTTTTATTTGTTTCGCTAAAAAATTTCTTTCGGCCTCAATGATTTCGGCCTATATTTTAGTGACTTAATTCTGAGTTGCTTCAGGGGAAACACAGTTTTTATTCAAGGCCTTCGGTTATGCTTCTGGACGTATTTTCCGTAAGTAGAACATCATTCCAGACAATATTGTGAAGTTTTTTTTTTACTTGTGGCTGTTTCGAATTTGTAACGATTCGATGAACGTAGTTCAGAGTTTTGTATAGTTTGTGATGATTTTTTTTACTCTTTTTGTTCAGGCTCTGTTTTTTTTTCGTGGTTTGACTTTTTATTTTTTTTTTTGAAATGAAGGCAAATTCCACTTTCGAACAGCAAAAGTGTAAATTTCAAGAAAAACGTGATCAGTTTCTAGTTTCGAAGCTGGAATTTTATTTTCAGATATTTCAGTGAAGTAAAATTTTCACATATTGATCCAGTTTTTTCAAGTTGGGTTAATTTTATCAAAAAAGTGCAAAAAGTTGTTCTCGAAATTCAAAGAGTTCTCAGACCATCTACTTTTTAATTTTTTTCGTCGAAATATCTTTAAAAACAAGTCAGTATTTTTTCGGTCTTCTTGCGTTCATGGACTATTTTCCAGCTGTCTGTTGGCTATGTTTAAGTTTCATGTCTGCCAGCTTGCAATGCTATTTTGATGTGGTATTGAAAGTGGTGCGAATCTCCGCTTTGTCTTTGTGTTGAAAGGTGTTATAATTTACAGTCTGGGAATTTTTTGTACAGAAAATTGATGCCTGAAATAACTATATTCCAGCATTTATTTCCGATTATGTTTTACAGTAACTAGTCAGATTTGCAGTACCTGATAAAAAGTTTTTTTTCCTGCAGGTCGGCAACTGGTGAAGCATGGCAGGAGATTATGCTGGGCTGTGCAAACTACCCTGATGTGATGTGCGATGAGGTGTCAGACCCCTACAAGCTATGGGTGAATACGAAGGTCGGACCGGAACCCAATTGCGGGTCTATCGCCTCTTACCCATATTTCATCACTTTCTACGCACTATGCTCATTCTTGGTAAGATTCAATTATGCTTGCTGCCATTCGTAATGTTTCGTTCACCTCTGAAAAGCTATTAGTGTTAAGGATTCAGTTCTTATATATTTTCCTTCAAAATTTATGTAAAGATTGCTTTTAAATAATTTGCATTATTTTTTAAATCTTGAATGGTGCAGCTTAAAAAAAACGATTAGAAGCTTTTGTTATCTTTTGGAGCAGTACAACAGTGCCGAACGAAAAAATGTTGTTCAAATTTTTTGAATACTGTTTTTACTCGTCCAAAGTCATTCACAAATAAATTAATTCAAATTTACGGAAGTTGAAAAGTCAGAAATGGCCTTTTTACTTAATACCGCTCGTTAAACAAACAAAAGTTCTCCAGTCGCGGCGTCATAATTTTTTCTGAACAAACAATTAACTCAACAAGTTGTTATAGTTTCTTCTCGTTTCGCTCCAAAACAAAACAGTATTCAAGCTTTTTCAGTTTCGGCATTGTTGTACTTCGTCACTGTTGAACTTCCCCAATCTTTTTCTGGGATAGAAAACACTTAAGCCCTGCAAGCTAAAACAATAAATTTAACATAACTTTGTTTAGCAGTTCTGTCTTTCGGTTTGTAGATTATCAACTTGTTCGTGGCTGTCATCATGGACAACTTCGACTATCTCACTCGTGATTGGTCCATTCTGGGACCCCATCATTTGGACGAGTTCATCCGACATTGGTCCGAATTCGATCCGGAGGCTAAGTGAGTCAGTCCATGTGTTTTCTATTGTAGTTTTAAAATAGTGAGCCGAACTACGATTATGAATGTGTAAAATTTGAGCACAGAGGCGAAGCCGAGCTTCGCACCAATTGCGATACAACTAAATCTATCAAAATGAGTGATAATAATTGTGAAAAACACATGCTCAAACAATAGAATGCAAAATATCTGCCAAAAATATTGGAGCAGAAACTCTTCAAGATTATTCTTTTGAAATTCCAACTTAATTAAAAATTTTTACGTCCCCCTTCATCATAACTCACACAAAAACTTTTTTCGCGCATCAAACGACGCTACTAGGCCGATATAAAACAAGTTGAAACCTGTTAAGCCTAAAAAAAGAACTTTCAACAAACCGAGTGGTAAAAATGCAACCAACTTAAAAAGCGCGGATGGGAGCGTAAAAATTGTGTTTCATTTGAAACGACCCAAAATTAGGTCACTAAGCCAGTGAAAATAGGCTGAAATAATTTCGGGCGAATAAATATTTTAAGCGAAACAAAAAAGGAAATTTGAAACGGGTGACCGATCGACTAGCATAAGGCTCGACTACCATTAAAGTTTGAAAAGATGAAAATGTATCGACGAGCATAATTTTCTTAGCTTTATTTCTCAAACATATAGAAGAAGAATTTTGATCCGTTCAAAATGAACTTTGTCTTTCTGAAATAGAAAACTTAGCAATTGAAAAATTATGCAATCAAATGAAATTCCTTAACACATAAATTTGTGACCAGTCACACCCCGATCTGTAATGACTTAAACTGAACAATCATTGCCGCATAAATTGTCAAATGTAAGAGAAAACTGTTATTTATATATATTGTCTACGTATAATGATTCTATATAAAGTTCTGACAGTATTTGAATTTTGCGTTTCAATTCTTATGCTAGTCGATGCGATTTTCAATTGTCAAATTTTTGCGGTAGTCGATACACCGCCAAAAACAGGTCACAGTCAGATTTGACACAAGGACCTTTGCGTCCCAGGCGTATTCGTTACCTCCATGCTAAAAGGATCGGAGACAATAATAAATTTGATTTAATTATGAAACAAGGTACCAGTAGAGATGAGTTTAAAATTCCAGATGAGATGGGTCATGAGAAAAAAGTTAGATACGAGAAAAAAGTCTGGTACCCGATTGCAATACCCGATTGCAATAAACAGATGGAATCGATTGATACTATATAGACCATTCCGTAAACAGAAAGATATTCAGGCTTAAATCGTAAGACTTTTCTTTCCGAAGAAGTTTCCTTCCCGGCTGTGGAAAGTATACGCCGTCTGTTGATTGCTTAGCTGCAAAATGGCCATGCCTCGTCGAACATAAAAAAAATGTCACCAGAACAAAATGTAACGGTAATGCTTGAAAATAAAATTGAAAAAGAGAAACCTGATATTTTCTTGTTTCCAGGACTTTTTTCCAGGACATTTTACTTTTCGGACAAACATTTCTGACAGGCGATTGCTCATCATGCTAATGTTCCTGCACCTCAATATTAATTACCACTAAATTTTGTTTTGTTTCAGAGGGAGAATCAAGCATTTAGATGTGGTAACACTTCTTAGAAAAATCTCGCCGCCTCTTGGGTTTGGCCACTTGTGTCCGCATAGATTAGCTTGCAAGGTAATTTACAAATAAACGTTAAATTTTTTGTAATTTTTTTGTTTCTCCGAATCTCTCTGATGTTTTTTTTGCCGTTATCAAATTGTTCGCGTTAAATCGTGGCGACGTATTGATGAAAATGTTATTGAAGTTGACAAGTTGGACAAACAAGTATCTGAGCTGTTCGGTATTTTAGCGATTGGTGTCGATGAACATGCCCTTGAACAGTGACGGCACTGTTTGCTTCAACGCCACGCTTTTCGCACTTGTTCGGACAAACCTGAAAATCAAAACTGAAGGTAATTACCCAATTTTAGATATTATGTCACGAAAAAACAAACACTTTAGATTACTTATTACGTTTTTAAAACTGAAACATTCATCTTTACCTAAGCTAGTTAATTTTGGTATAGATTTAAGTTACCGCAACAGTCAGTTTGTGTTATATAGATTGTTACGAGATTAGATGAATATTTATATCATAAAATTCCGGATCTGCTGCTTTCATGCTTTGTATGAAGCACCCTATTTAGAATACCCTGTCAGTTTAAGTTACCATTTAGATTAAATAAGGATTAGATGTCAAATTGACCTACGTTTTTTTTGGAAAAGAATGGGTCGTCCATCTGCTGATCCTTAAATTTTTATTTATTCCATGTTAGTCATAAATTCATAAAGATCATAATTTCCATTCACTTTATAGTTGACAGTAAGTAATATTTCGTGGAAGGTAACAACGGTGATTGCTTCGCGGCATCACCCATACTATGTTTCACCTCTGACGCCGCTTACTTGATTGAAGGCGCATCGCATCGTTTGGCTACATATACGTACACTATCATGGGTTTTTCTGTGTTGATTTGTTGTTTGCGATGGACCTGAAACGTTTTACATCTATTACCACTCGCATATTATTAGATCTTATTAACATCTGACAAAAAAGTTTCTCGTAGTTACTCATATACACAGTTTCATCCATACTTATATACTTATGATGATAACATAAACTTGTTGGCACTTGTTCACATTTACTGCTGACTTCATGTTGCGATGTGATGTAATTTTGATTTGTTGGAGCGCCGTGGGCAGTGTACTTAAGCAGAAACGTTCTAAGAGCAGAATGCCGGCAAATCGTTTTCCAAATACAATTTTAACTCCTAGCTTAAGTTTTTTCAAAATTTGATTTTTATTCGATGATTCTAAATTCGATAAACGTAATAAAAGGTCGCGATGATTTTTGCATTTCGAAAGTTGAGTTTTTTTTTATTATAGCCCCTCCAGCCTAGTAGCAAAAAATATATAATTTCTCCAGTTTGTCAATTCTTAATTGCTTTTAAAACAGATCGTGTGCTTTCATTTGTAAGTGCATTCAAGAACAAGTGAATCAAAGCTTTATTAGCACTGAGCTTAGCTCTGCGTAGAGTTATTAGGTTTGCATAAATTAAAAAAGATGCACACGCTAATTCACTGTGCATTTTTACCGATTTAATATATGCCGAAGCCTATCAGGCCGAAAGAAAAGAAAATAAAAAGATAACAAAAATCGGAAAAAAAACATTCAAGACTAATAAAAAGTTCTTAGGTACCACTCACCCTCAAAACACACACACGCACACAGAAATTTTTTTCTCTCGTGGAACGACGCAATATGAGGCCAAAAAATTGATATAAAATAGGCCGAAACCTATCAGGTCGAAAAAAAAATTAAAAAAAAAAACAAAAAAAATGAAATTTTAATATTTTGAATCGGTAAAAATACAACCAAAATACAAAGCAGTTTCGAATAGGTTAGATAGTTTAAATACTAACTTGCATAGAATAATTCTACAGAGGTGAATTTGTTGCTAATAGAGGCTTCCAGCAAATGATTCATATGAACAAAGCTATTTACAGAAAAAAGTCGAGTACCCAATTGCAGTAAACTTGCTTATCGCAGGGAAAATAATTCCCTACAGATTTTAAAAAATACTTCTTGATCCATTTTTTTTTGAGTAAGTTAGTAGTTTTCTTTTTGAGAGCGAATGGTTTTTAATCCAGAACAAGACTTTTATTCAGTAAAGAACTTTTTTTTACAAATCTGTAAGAACTTGACCTTGCCCTATTATGCTTTATTATGAAACCTCAGTAACTTCCAAGCACTTCCTATTTGATCTGGTGGTAGTGGTAAAGTGCGAGAATTGGCCGCCTAATGATTCGGGTTCGAATCCCGGCTGGACAAAGTTTTTAACTAGAGCTTGAATGTTTTCTGGAAAAATTGAATAGTCGGACCATCGTTTGTCTGCTTTTTTGTCGGTTTTCCAAATCATGTCCTTCGCTTGAAGGCTCCCGGACTTTTAATTGTTTTAGAATGCGGTATGTAACGATGCAGGAATTTCAGGATTTTGTAAAATTTTTGTGCTTACAGGTCCTTGGGCCTTGATGATTTCTGCATATCGGCCGAATTGCCTCATAAAAGTTCGTTTATCGAAAATAGATTTTAATGCGTGTTTGTGCTCCGGGGAATCTAACAACTTGGAGTTGTACAATTTTTGATTGCTTATAATTTTCTATCACTTTTCTTTTGGCTCAACGGACGTCTACCCAAGTATTGTCTTTCTAGTTCCCAATTGATAAATTTTCTATCCGTGCCAATTTACCGTTGGGCATTATTTTTATGGGTTTTTCAACAAGTTTTTATCAAATTTCACTTCATTTGAGATAAAAATTTGTAAATGAAAGTTTTTGACCTTTTTTAAAAAGTGTATATTTTTTTCACTTTGTGAATTCCGTCGCATTTCCTACCCGCTAGCTTACAATGCTATGCGTGTGCGTTATATCTTTGAAGACCAGCGTGTAAAGAAATTTTAACAATTATAATTATTTTTCAAACTGAAACATATTTTGTTTCATTGGAATAATTTGTTTGATGAAACTCCAAAAGTGGCATACATATTTTAGAATCACAAGCGTAAAGAAAAACAGTTGTTTTTCGGTTTTCCTTAGTTCATTTTGAGATTTTCGTTATATGTGTCCGAAATGATACAGAGTTTCGCTACACCCGTTTTGAAGCAGCCCCAGCGTTTTAACCGGCCCTTAAACTTCGAGTTTTGCCTCAACTTGTAATCGGGTACAAGATTATTCCCCGTTAACAGTTTTGCCGTAAAAATTCGCTCTTGAAATGTTCCTGGCTATCAAATCCCTGACGGTTTTTGCACATTTAGCTTGGAGGTACGCCTTTTCCTGGGGCGACCAAGTTGCTAGATTCGATAAAGGCCGGAAGCTGATTTTTTTTCAAATTGAATATTTTTGGAACGTTTAAACGGTCTATCGGCTGACTTTCCTAAGCATGGACCTTTATTCTGATTGAAGCAAAATATACTATATTTGAAATACGTTATGATTTATTCTTTTATTATTTTAAGTTACCACCTATGAATTGCTATAATTTAATTTTTTTTTCGCTTTAAAAATTCCTTTTTTGCTCGGCCTAACTAGTTTCGTCTAATGCTATATCGGCTAAGTTGCCCTATATTATTTCTTTTGATGGGATAGCATATCCTTTTTCGTCTGAAGGGCGAAGTTATTTTTTCAAGCATAAAGTCTGAGTTTCAAAATTTTTTATAGCTCAAAAACTTTTGTGACCATTTTTTTCGGCCCAGCTGTCGTCTACCGAAGTATGATCTGCTTAGTTACCACTTGGTAGATTTTCTTTCATTACCAATTTAACTCTGGAAACTGTGCTTCTCGGCATGTCGTCTGCAAGTTGAACTTGAACACCCGAGACGAGAGAATAAAAATTTTGGTTGATGTTTTTTCGATATTTTTTTCAGATGTTTTCGACTCATTGTCTCAATTTTTTCTGACTATATCCTGTGTTAAAGATATTAACAAACTGCTTAAATAATTCGGACTCCAGCCATTCTGCCTATTACGCGGCATTTTGTTGTTGTTATGTTTGCTCATGTGCGACTCCTATAATCACAAAGCAATACGTAGCCGTAGTGAGGACAGGCTCACAAAAGTAAAGTAATGATGATTTGGTCTGAAATAGCGGAAAGGAGCTGGTGTACCTCACTGAATTGATCACATGCGCGCGCCATTTATCACGTGTCATCATTTCCTGTTGTGATTGATTACTCATCAAATGATTGGCGCTGGAATATGTATATCAAAATAGTTTGTTACCTCATTTCCATGTGCAAAGGTTTTGATAGGTTTTTGCGGAATAGTTAAACAATTTTGATTTTGAAAAAACCTTATTTTTCAATCTCCAAGTGGATAATTATTAAGTTTGTATGCGACAAAGCGTTGATAGCTGAACAGAGATTTCGACTCGGATAGTGTTAGCATTAAAAACAAAGTATGTGCTTCTGAACAGTTCATTTAAATATTAGTTTCTCAAATCTATCGCTTATTCGTGACTTAATTATAGCCAGTGCGAGCTTTTCTATGCTTCTTTTTTCTCCACTTCATGTCGGCGACATCGCGAGATGAAAATATTTTTGATGTTTCGTTAGTATGAATATCAAAAATAATAAAAATTATTAATACCAAAACCCGCCGGTTCAATATCATCCAAGTCTTTTCAGATGAGAACCCTAGAAGATAAGCTATGACTTAGAGCGGCCTTAATAAAGATAACGTAGTTTATGATACAGGCGTCTCCTACGCGGGAAGACGGCGTTCCTTAGCCAGAGGTAACTAGAACATAAATTGGATCGAACCTAAATTTGGTATCCGTATTACGCAACCATGAATTAAACTTGAGATGAAGTTGAAGCACTGCGGATACCTTTGCTGAAGTTTTTCTCGAAGATAATTGAGCCAATGAATTCTTTTTACTGTTCAAGTTTGACAATGATGTGATTTAAATGTTTGAAAAATTGAATTTTGAGCAAATGTGTTGGTGGTGCTTTGACTTAGTCTAACTTGATATTGTACTGCAATGCAATGGCACCACAGGCTATGTTGTCGTACCTTTTCGGTTGTGCTAGGATTGAGTTCTCGAACAACACATTTACCCCCTAGCAAGTGTAATTGGCTCAATATTAATTGCTATCAACTTAACAAACCCCCCCCCCCATCGAAAAAGGACATTTTTGGCTCTGACCCTCAAAGTATGTATCCGTTTTACAATTTGTTAGCACAATTTTGGATTATTATAACGCTTGAAACATTTATAATTAAATGATTGATGTCAACACTTAGTTCGAGATATAGAAATGTAAAACAGTAGGCAGGGTTTCCCCTGTAAGCGAATCAGCATGGTCGGGGAAGGGGAATTGTTGAGCTGATCCTTTGATTTTTATATTACATCTAGGTATGCCAATCGCTTTAAACATAACTTCCCAAGTTGGTTTTTGCATTGAGTAAAATTTTTAAGTTCCGTTTCATTAAAGCATTAAAATAGCGCCTTAAACCGAAAGCCTTAAAATGAAAATTATATATTTTGAAATGCAAGCTCGACTTTTTAGAAAACATACAATGATTCAAAGGCATATACTCTTTTGATTTTATAACCTATGTTTGTATTTGAAGTATACCAAAATGATATTTTCTTACACTGCTAGTTTCTGCTTGTCTTCTGAAGCTTGGACCTGAAAATGATCAACTTGAAAAGTATACGCTTCTGACTGTTGTTCTATATAAGAAACTGTGCTTCGATATACTCACTTATTTCATGGTAGGTTTGTAACAAATCGAGTTCAAAATTATAGAAAGCGGGTAAAACAGTCAAACGCGACAAAATGTCTATAATTAACATATGTTTCTCAAAAAAGTTTGGAACTATCTTTGCTATTCGCTTTTGGCAGCAGTCACGATAATAATCGGTTACTTAAAACATCTCAGAGTTGTGCTTTTGATTTTCTGTTGCAGCTTTGAACAACAGGACTGTTAGTTTCTTAGATTCCAGAAACTCGAATTAAATGTTCATGAATGCTTTTTCTCTCAGGTGCTTAATTATGGGGATTATTATTATCGATGGAGGGGGTCTGATTTGCTACCAACAAATCAGTAATGGGGGAGTCCTAAATTATCAGTTTTTTGAAAATATGTACGGCAAGATATTAAATCCAATTCAAATTTTACATCAAAGCACCATCACCATCATTGAGTCTGGGACACATCGGTCTCTGGTTCGATCCCAGGTTTTGACAATATTTAAAGGGGTGGGGGATATGGGGGTACTTTTTCCCGGGACCCTAATTTATTGGGCGAAATCATGTATGGGGTCCGAATATTTAAGCACCTGAGGGTACCGCTTATACTCTGAACCGCTCTAATAATTATTTATTCGTTTAGGGGATTCAAAATTGTTAGCTTTGATTTGATTTTCTCGAGGATTGTTTTTGATTTAATTCAATTTGTTGAACAATTCTGCTTCGCAGCACAACTCGGTCCAATTTCCGAAAAGACCAAAGGTATGCATGAACAAATTTATTACTTGCGGGAGGTGGTCGTTAATTCTGATGAGGCTGCCACTTACCGAGGCTGATGAAGTTAATTTCACTTTGGGCTTTTAATTTATTTTAATTTAGTTTATGCTTTGGTTGGGTGCGTGGGTTTGATCACCTGAGTTTGTCCGCTGCTTATGCTTATTGCTCAAAATTTTGAAAACTCATCGCTTTCATCAAAATTATTCACGCAGTTATGAAACTGCAGAGCTCAGGTTCATCCGAATCGAGCTCTTGAGTTCAATTTAGCTGGAGTCCGGGGCTAAAAACAACAACAACACTTTAAGTGTTGTGAAAGATTCATCTTGATAAATTTGTCCGGAAGTTCCAACATAGAATCCGGTCATAGAGTTAATTTATGTGACCGTTCGATTTATCCGATCGGATATTATTTAAAGACTTAAAATAATATTTTTTGCAATTACTTAAAAAATTTTATTTTCTGCATCCCCTCAGCGGACATTTTAAAAACGACTATTGGTTGTTGAATTTGAAAAAATGGGGGAATGCTTTTGTCTGCTTTAGTTTTTCCTCTATGCAATAAACGATCTAACATATTGTGACCTAGTTTTTCAACATTAAACAAAGCACTGATGAATGACATCTTTCCATGCATTTATGACTATCTATTTAACTTAACAATAATACGAATAAAAAAGGCATTTTTTCTACGAAAATTGTTAAGCTAAGGTGAATTGCGCCGCAAAACGTATTCGATATTAAAACGAGACACTCTGTTTACTGAAGTAATCACAAATCCGAAGCAAATTATATCAATTAAAATCAGATGTACGTCGATAACTTTAAAAAAAAACATTTATTAGACGAAAATAATATCAACAAGACCGCTCGAATCAAAAGACAAAGCCCTGAATTTTCAGATTAATTCCCTTAGTATCTTGTTTAATGTAGTTTTTGTTAAGTACAAGTATAATTTTGCAAAAATTGATTTTTTTTAAAACCGTCCGCCGCACGTAATTTCAAGACAATTGCTTTAATTCTGCGTCTGGTTGCTCACTTTTTTTTGCTTGGACCAATTAGTTGTCAGGGCGGTTTTATTTTAAAAAAATGGATGAACGCAAAATTAATTTGTCATAAAATTTTTGGTGTTCTTTGTAAAATCAAAAATGCTTTCATTTGCAAATTATTGACAGGATGTAAATATGCTTTTAATTTTATATGCGACGTACAGCGACGCTTGTTTAAAGTGTTCTAGGGCTTCGCTTATTCTCGACCCATTTAGCAGACATGTAATCAATCAGTTTCATGAAGTCATAGGAAACACCGCTCTAACTGCTTTTTTCCTCCAGTTTGGTTAATAGCACTCACTCAAAGGTTTTTTTTTCTAAACAAATTTATGTACATCAATTAATTTCGTACACCTAATGTATGCTTCATAGCTTTTTAAGATAGCTAGCTGCCGGTTTTAAATAAGAAACATCTTGCGTAGTAACACAAAAAAAATTACTGAAATTAATGAACAGAAATAAATTGAGGGAAAGTTGATAGGTTATATCAATATTGAGAAAAAACCGTGTTTGCAAACCTCTCTACAAACAAGCAATTATTATACACTTGGCCTCGAATAGTTTTGCTTCAAATTGAAGTCTAAAACGCTTAACTCTTGATACTGCTCTGCTTTTCGTCACGATTGGTTAAAACTAGTCGGATCTATGTTTGAAAGATCGCACCTGATGGTCACTGTTGGAAATGAGTCAGTTTGTTACATAACATTTGATCACGCACTGTTTTGTTTTAACTTATGGGATACACTGGAGGTTTGTATATACTACCCCACTTATATAATAAAATGAAGATGGGCCTGCTCTCCTATGACATCCATGCACACGCTAACACACCGCCTCTGAGCATAACTTGATTTATTATTACCCAAACCAACTGCAAACTGTTATTAACTCTTATCACCACAACATAAGCATAAACAGACCAATGTGATCGGTCGGTCAATCAGTTCAACTGTTTAATTTCACTACCCCAATCTGTTTTGAAGAAGAAAAAAACGTTCTAGTTTGACATGAAAATATTCTAAAAAATGAAAATATCTTACTGGAAAAGCAGCAAATACTTTTTGTTTTATCTTTACAATTTTTTCGTAATTAGAGCCCATTGTAAGAGCTTCGACGATATCAAGACGCATTTAAGTTTCAGTTGAATTTTAAACATTACTCATTGAAGTTGAAGGGACATTGATATTTATTAGCGCCTCACTTAAATCCAAAGGAATGGCGAAAAAAGCATGCTATGTAAGATTTTTAGTTGCGCTTAAGGTACCTTACCCAGGACAACTTTTTGCACTTTCAAAACCTTTTTGAATTTTGCAGTCCTTGCAATTGAACTGAATCCATTACCAAGTTTGATTCCAGTGAAAGAAGGTAATAATGTGACTTTATTTTCTAGGTAACATAGACGAAGCCAACGAGGAACTGAGGGCGGTGATCAAGAAGATCTGGAAGCGCACTTCGCCCCAATTGTTAAACCAAGTCGTACCGCCACCAGGAGGTTACATAATAATACAAATATCACTTTCAGTTTCGTATCGCATTGTAATTTTATCAGCTCTCGGCAATTTCATAAGAAAATGTAACCTAGATACCATCATACCAGAAGAAAAAAACTAGGTTGGATTCGAATCCCAAACTCCGGATCAGAAGTGAGACTTAGAACTAGAGTTTTCGGAAATCGTAGATTATTCGCGTAGAGTCTTGTTTTGTAGAGTTTTGTTTTGACAGGGAACTACGATTGAACGTGGCACATTAGCATAAATGGATATATTTAAGAATAATTCTGGTATCAATTTAAACAAAAAATGAACAATTTAATTCCAGTTTTTCTGTTATTTAAACTATATACTGAATCATCCATCCTCTTCAATGAATTTAAAGTGCAGTCGTTTTCAAAATTCTGCGATTAAATTGACTTCAAAGCGCCTTAAGTCAAATTCTATCAATTTTTCTAATTAAGCTAAGTAGATTTCATTTTAACACATGTCACATTCACTTGCAGGAGACGATGATGTAACAGTTGGCAAATTCTATGCCACTTTTCTCATACAAGACTACTTCCGTCGATTCAAAAAACGAAAGCAACAAATTGCTGAGAAACAGGGCAAGGCGGGCGCACTACAGGCTGGACTCCGACAACTTCAGGAGTTTGCCCCGGAACTGAAGAGAGCTATATCTGGGAACCTGGAGGAGATGGAAAAGGAGGAACCGGAACATCGAAGAAACCACGGACTCTTCGGCAACGTTTTCAACGCCGTTCGTAGGTCCTCTAGCGCCAGCAAACGAGGAGGAAGTTTCAGAGGGGGTGAAAGCAGTCGAACTGCTTCCGTTTCAGACAACGCAAACAGAAGATCAATCCAATCGCCGTTCCAGCGTGAAACGTCAGCGGAACCGATAGTGAGTAGGAATTCGAGCATGCGCAGGACTCCATCGCCCAAGCAGAGTCCACCCGCGAGAAGGAGAGTTCGAAAAGAACGTGACTTTGACCGCATCAAGTAAGTCGATTAAACGTATAATCTTATCGGTTATTCTTGCTTTTCTTGTTCATACCATTGAGTTCTCATTTATTTATTTGAATTATAGTATCTGCAATTTTCCGCAGTTAAGCCTCGCGCATAAACAAAAAAAGCATCTGGGTCGAAGGACTTCGAAACTCCTCAGGGGCAATGAAATCTGCGCAACAAAACTCTTCTGTTGGTTTAGGGCTCCAGACTTCAGCTTCATTTTAATTAAATGTTTCAGGAGAGAGTCTCTGACTGATGAGCATGCAAACTTGTCTGACCTGCCAATCACCGTGAATGTCGAGGGCCCATCTCGCCACACGAGCACAGAAGACGTCAACTCCGTGAGTCAGTCGGAAGACCACTCTTTCCAGAAACCCCCTAAAAGATATAGCAATCCACGCTTCTCGCGTCCATTCGACGACTACAGTATTGAAGAAAGCGACAGTGAGTTTGACCAGGGTCAGAAAATGATGTCCCCGCCCGGAAAGGGATACATTGAGTCTTCCAGGACAATCACCCCAATTACAGAACAACCCCCGTCGCCAGATTACTCCAGCAGTCCCGACGAAGATTCACCTACTAACACGCAGCGAACGAGCAAGGTAAGTGTCTAATAGCCGCTTATTTGAGATTTCTATGTGGTTGTTTTGAACACAACTTTCAGACCCAAGACTGTGTGCTCTTATCCAAATTTTTTTATTTCGAAAACTTACATTTACTTTTCAAAGAAGCTTACCTGAGGAATACGTACCTTGCATTTTAATTGCTATTAATAACCACTAATTTTGCAACTTTGACTGAGTTGTTTTTGTTTTGCTTGCTGATTTGAAATCATTAACTAACGAGTGTCCAATTAACAATTCCAGTTCACATTCGGTGACCTCGAAGAAGACGGCGACGAAATTTGGATGACGCCGAAAAACTCCTTCACAAACATCGCCTCGCGGACAGGTGCTTCGGCACCAGGTGCTAGATGTCCGAAACACGCAGCTGCAGAATACCTCGCCGCCACACACCTGTTGCGCCATCATCACCATCATTATTCTTTGAACTCAACAGGTGTAATAGGACCCAGTGGAAACCAAGTTGGAGCTCCTAACGTCGGCGGGATCCCGAATCATCATCAACATCAGTCTAGTTTAGCCCAACAGTCTCCACACGTGCATAATCACACATTTGGTTCTAACGCGGCAGCAATTTCTGCCCACCATGCCTTAGTGCACGGGCGACATGGGGCTGTGGGTCACACTGGGTTCGGGCCGAACCAGATTCCGCAGTCTATCAAAAAGCTTTACAGCCGGATGCCGACTAACGATCACGCAAGCTCACTCTCTCTACATTCGGTTGGTGTGACGTCACTAGCATTTTTATTCATTTACTCGACCACTACTAAAAGTTCTAAAAAGGCTACTTTTACTAACTAAAAAAGGCGAATTAACTAGAAGATGATTTCTTAATTGGTAAGTTGCAGAATTCTTAATCGGTGTTGCACTGTAGAAATTTACGAAGTTTTGAGATTAAGAATGTTTATCGTACTTGTGGACTGCTCTTAACTAATTCAACATTACACCTTAAATTAACTGATAATAATTTTGAACCAGCTGCGACCGTTATCTGAGATCAAAAAGGCTAAGTTCCCAGCGCCCTCACTCCCCGCTGCCCTGTCGCACTACCAAAGCCACGGACACTTGCAAGACCCCTCCCATCTCCAGCCTCAATCTCATAACCAGACAGGTCCCATTCCCCCTCTTCAAATGAGAGGCGACCAGAGATTGCTCTCTGAGTGTGGCGAAAACCCACCGAGGCTGTACAAACCCCAAAATGCCGGAGCAGCCCAAAATAGCAGATATAGACCCCGACTTTTGCGTCAACAGACGACGCCCGCAGTCTATGTAAGGACTCGAGTATATGTAAAACAATTGTGAGATTTGCTTGAATCAATGGACGTAATTACTTTGCAAGTTGCTTGGTTTTCCACAGCGATATTTCCCTTCTGAATACTGTATGTTTGTCTATTCGTTTCCGCGCAGCCACATCCATTTACGCCTTTGCGTTCATAACATCGCCAAAGACAGATCGTTCCATCACATATGTTGACTCCCAGTTTTTTCTAAATGTTCACTTTCAGTCACTTCAGAAAAATTGAACGCTGGAAAATTGTTGAAAAGCATCATGTTTAGTGTTGCAGCAGTCATCGGCAGGCAAACATCAAATTAGCTTCAAAAGCATACAATCATTCATGTTGCATATTTCAACGAAATCGAGTCTCATCCCTTTGTCACAGCAATTATTCCCCTATATTTGCAATTATTATAAATATAAAGCTAATGTTATAAAATTGATATTTATGGGCAATTTTCAGAACCACGCGGCTCATTTACAACATCATCAGCAGCAACAGCAGGGCCCCGTGAACAACTTCAATCACCCAGGTGCTAACCACGTGAACAGCAACACTAACGGACTGCCAGGGGGCGTGGCAGGTCCCAACAGCATGCGCAATAAGGGGGGCCAAGGGGACTATGCACTGCACAAACACCTGCTGGAAACAGCCAGTCTGCCCAATGGATCCGGAGATCCGAGTCAACAGAGAACACAGGGAAGTGCCAACAACCTTCTCAGAGAAGTTAGTCCTTTTCAAGACCATTTATTTACGAGGCAAACTATCAATATACCAAGCATTCAATTTTTGCGGAAAGCTCCTGTTGTGCACATCATTAAGACACACATGCAGCGGTTTTGGTTACTTGCCTGGGCTAAGAAAAGTTTTCCCACCCTCAAGCATCGAACACTGATAATAAGGCCTCGATTTAGTCACTGAGAGGCAGATACTTTAAGTCGTTCCCCAATTGCTCTCCAAGATTCTATTTAGACAGAGTTAATCTTTTACAATCTCAAGGCAAATTTGAGATTGCCTGCACGCTGACAGAAGCAAAAATGTAACGCAAAATCATACCGAAATATGGTCTTCAAATTATTGGGTGGATTTTAAGAAAGTTTTCGAATTAATTTGGTCGTTTGTAGGCCGACCAAATTAATTTTCTACGTTTCCCTTACTAAACTCTATAAAACCACATAACAAAATTTTCTGCGCCGCAGGCGAATTTTTGAGAATAGGCCAAAAATTGGAGAAAGTCTGACTTGAAACCAAAATTTTTTCTACGACCAGATTTAAACACTGATACATTTCTCGATGTCCTTGTCTGCTTCATCTAGGAAAAGGTGCACCTAAAATCATTGTAACTTTTGTAGGAGCTAGTAACGCGCTTATATGATGACCTAAAAGGTTCGATAGGAAAAAAACTGCCTTTGTTTAGCTATGAATTAAAGCGACTGGAAATTCGATCCATATTATAGGCATCATTTTGGTGGGATATGGGAGCGATTAGTTCAGATTGCTAAACAAACAATCGTTAAATAACAAAACTTACGCTGGACTTTTTAAATATTGTTTTACTGAAACAAAATCACTGTTGAACTCCAGACTTACAACAAATTTTGCTGATATCAGCGAAAAAAAAGAATCACTCAATCCTAATCATTTTTCTTAAATTCGTCATCCCTTCAGCAACCTACCACGTCAAAATTTCGAAGACCGGCTGCCACTCCGATTTGAAAACTTGTTCATACAATAACTTTTGCGCAATCTTATCTGGCGGATACTAAAATACATACAGCTACTTACTGCAGCGAAACAAGATGCGACTTGTAGAACAATGGCTACAAAAGGGAGATATGAATCCTAAAAGATCTGAGTCAGCGTAGAATATAGCCATTGGGACGAGTCACAGTGGTCATATTCCACTGCCACAGTGGGTGAAAATCCTGCTCGAAATGGGACTACCCGAGTAATGACTGCATCTACGTAACTTTTGATCGTCCGGCTAGCGTGTTCGCACGCGTTTTTTTTTTTTTGCTCCATTCAAAAACTGCCTCGACCCACGCTCTTATTTAACGCTCTTGTTTATTCTGTAACATTCAAAACATAATAAAGTACAGAAGCGAAGCAGAGCTTCCCATCATTTGCAATACAACATTACAAAGCAACTCAGCCCACAGAAATAGCAGCGAAAATCTGCATCTACCAAAATTTCTCTTTTTGTTTTGATTAAACTTTTTGATTCCAATGAGCAAAATTGAACGCATTTTTTCTTCGAGTTATTGTTGTTTCTCTGCAACTCCCTAAGATATAGAGTTGAATTTCATACAGATTCTTGATGAAACTATTTGATAGGAAGTTGCCTGATCAAAAATTGAGAAATATGGTTTTGCCGGCATGAAAAAGCCAGTTTATTATAAATTGTTTTAGAGGTGTTCTTGCTTTAAACATATCTTTGGAAACTATCTAACCAGAAGGGATTCAACCCCCTCAACAGCCAAAGTCCCCTCTTTGGCATTATTTTACACAGAAGTGAAGCAAATACACAGAGACGATACAAAAAAAGAAAGTCACTAAGTCAGAAAAAAAATCGAAAATGCCGAAAAAACTAGGTCTATCAAAATTAATAAGGCTAGTTGCGAAACAAAAACATGCCAAGACACTAGAATGTTAAACGAGCGGCGAAATAATTTTACCAAGCGGTGGCAAAGCCAAAAATACTTAAGCAGAAACTTTTTAAGCCGAAAAAAATCAGCAAAACTAAAACAGAAAATATAAAGAATTAAGTCACACTTGCCCTCAAAAAACACACTCAAAACTTTATTTGCTCGTCAAATGAAACAATATGAGGTCTTTAAGCTGATTGTAACGTACTGCGCTTTATTTGAGCACTTAATGATATTGCACTTTATTTGAGCTCTTATACAATTGAATTTATTTTTCGGATGCGTGTTGTTAGTCCGTCCGACGTCCCCTGATGTTATTGAAAACGGAGATTGCAAACTTTAATTCAAAGTTAATTCGCCTGGTTTTGGTGGCTGAATATATTTTGACAGTATTGACAAGATTAGCATCTAACATACCATGAACTTTACTTTACATCACGCTATTTATAAAAATCAACAGCACGCCACTAATCAAAGTTCAATGTCTTTACTTACAAAGCTGGCCAAAAAAATTGTGAAAAGTATAAAGAATAGTAAAAAGTTATTAAGTCCCTCTCACCCTCAAAACACACGCACATACTAACTTTTTTTGCTCGTCGAAAAACGCAACTTGAGGCCAGGACTCTGATTTTACATTGGCCGAAAACTATTAATTCTATTAAGGTTTTTAGCATTTTGTGCTATCCAGAGGGGAGCATAAAATTTATACTTTCCTTGAAACTAATATAGATCATCAAGCCTATAAAATATAAGCCGAATTCATTTGGGCAGCATAAAATTTTTCAGCAAAAAAAAAAGAAAATTTACGAAGTCAAAGTTAGTGAACTTTCAAACATCAGAAGAAAATCAAAACACTACAAACAACTACAATGGAGCTTGCGTACAGAAAAAAAAACAATTTTACGATGTAGCGTTTAAGCCAACACATATAAGCAGACAAAAATTAAAGACAATAATTTTTTTGAAACGTAATCAGGTACTATCAATTCACAATTTTTTTTATTATTGAGATTATTTGGAGAGAAAGACACTTCTTTAAGCACCGAAGGAACTTTCAAAAATTTATCATTTTTAAATATTGAATGATATTTTTTTTCTGTTTTGTTCTCCACCTGGTTTTTGAAGCCTGGTTAAACGCTTCCCTGGCACGAAAAGTTTCAAATTGAAAACATAATTAATAATCTAACTGATCTTCGTTTTATTATTCATCTAACATGGAAAACTGTAATCTTTGAGTAGTATTAAAGTCATTACTTATGTTCTAAAGTTATCTCTAAGCTCATCTCTCCCCAAAACGCTCAAAAAACGACATAATGCCAAAAATGGGGAAGATATATATTTTTAAGCAGTCGTGGTCGGAGCTTTCTGGGTTATTTAAAAGTGTGACCTAAATGTGTCAACAAAACAAACCCATTGCGAAAACTTTATATTGGTCTCCTGCTTTATGGCATTTTGACATTTAAAATAATTTTTAGATGTTCTCAAAAGAGACCTGGTTCGACGACAAACTAATTCCAATAGCCAAGCGGGAATTGGCAGAAGCCTATGAGCTGACAGACGACCAGCTGGACTCTCTGGCAGCTGACCTCCTCAAAACATCTACGCAGCACGAGCATCATCATCACTTGCAGCAGCTCAACAATCTCCAGCAGCAACAGGTGTGTTTTTGAAGGCAGATAGATGTTTTGTTGAAGTTTTAAACGAATTCTATTGCCACATTGGGTTTGACGCCGGTCGCAAGATGATTTGCTTTGAAGGCTTTGTAAATCTTATCTGACCTACGTCTATCCGGGTTCTTTTAGCAGATTTTCTTTAATAGATGTCGCCGCAGCAGATGCACATGAATGGCAATTTAGCCCAGCCAGGGGGCTTCCAGATGCCCCATCCTCGTCTGAAACAACAACAGCCAATGGGTTCAGGGGGTATGATGGTGCCTTCAGACAGCAGACAATCGATGCATAATCACCAACCGCAGCAAAATCCCAATATGCTATACGCCACCCAACCGAACATGACCAATGCCTTCCACAACAAAAACTCAAATGACGACAACCAAGTTAACCTTAATGACACTGGCTTCATTAGGACTTACTGATTGGTTGATAACTATCATAAATTGCATACTCTCCTAACCTTTTACTGTCCTTCCTAGGCGTCAAAAACTGTTAATTTCAAATTTCAGTCTTCCTTGAAATCCTAAATTTGCAAAACAAAAATTATGGTTCAACCGGATGACATATTTCGCCACGTAAGAAATGGGACACTACTAGGTTAAGGTCAATATCTAGTCTTTTGATTCTTTTGAAGTAATGTGATGTGATCATCCCTTCAAGTGTTCAACTGCCCTTAAAGGAAAGCTTTCGCAACCCCAGATGCTTATTTTTTGACGATTAACTGCGAATCTAAATGTGCAATACAACTTCTACTTAATACTTAAATCTTATTTTCATTTCACAAATGCTATTTGCAAATACACCACAAATTCTCCTTATAGATGGTTCAAAAATATTCGCTCTCAACTTGTGGCACGATGAATTGAACTCTAAAAAAAATGTTCTTAATTGTTCACATTCGAAATTCGCTCATTTTTTATCCTGCATGCTTTGTACTTTTTAGATGATTTTAAATTAATTCAGAATCTTATTCAGGTTTTTCGTTTTCAAGTTAACTAAAAATAAGCTGAGAGATTCTAATATCAAATTGAGAGGATCGAAATTCAACATTTCGATATATAAACTAATAAGAATGAATCAAAGAAAAATACGAAAAAGCGGCTAGGCTGCGATGGCAGAAAAAATGGTAACGAATATCTCGAAGAGCGCGTTGTTAAAAACTACCCTGTCGAACAAAAATTTGGGCTCATTTGAAGAAACATGTGATCCAACTTTTTTATGCGCAGCATTTTAGAATAAAATCTGTAGAACAGTTCACAAAAAATCCACATTTTAAGAAATCCATATTTTAAAAATTTTAACCGTTTGTTCGAAATTTTTAAATTTCAATCGGGAACAACGTTGCCGAATCTGAAATCAAGGGTGCAATGGAAGAACAAAATGTAAGAGCATAAGCGCATTCTCCCAATTAGGGTAAAACATCAGGCATGAATCTAAAAAACATCCACTATTTGACTATTTGAACCAGTTTTGAACTTCGTCAAGAAATTTTGTGACCACCGAAAAGGTCCGAACTTCAAAACTTTGACAATTTATCGAACACAATTATAAGTTTAAGCAAAAACTTAAATGCTTGGATTTTTCTGCATAGCAGCGACGTCTTTGTTTTTGAAGAAAAGCAATGCTGGTCTTAATAAAAATCCGTTCTTTGAAAAAATTGTTCGGTTTTTTGATAATTTTTGTGCAAAAACTGAAACAAATACATAAAAACTGGTACAATCATAAGAACAAACTTTAGTGATACCCCCTGCATCAGCAAATTCTCCCAACTTTGGGACGAGATCTGCTACGGATTTTTCGACCAATTTTCAAATTTTCAGAAAATTGTTAGATTTTAGAACAGGTTGGATTTAAAAATAATGCACTTGTTGAAATGTTAACCGTTTGTTGGAATTTTTTCAGTTGTCTTAGAAATACATGGCCAAATCTGAGGTTAAGTGTGCAATTGAGGAACAATTTGTAGGTGTAACGCCTGCACAAATAGTTTCTACCAAATAAAGTAAGCAATCAGCTATGGAATTAAAAAATGTGCAGTTTTGACATTTTGACCCATTTTTGAACATCGTTCTCAAACTTACGGCAACAAAAAATGATCACTTTTTGAAATATTCACCGTGTTTTGGAACGTTTTTGATATTTTTTGAAACAAAACAGCCAAATCTAAGACTACGAGTTCAAGTGAAAAGCTGCTTCAGAGTTTTTCTCTGAACAGCGGCTACGCCCTAACTTTTAAAGAAAGCATTGTTTGACTTAGTAGAAGTAAGTTATCAGTTTTTTCGTTGATTTTGATTTTATCTTTTCTTGAAAGCTATTGTACAACCTCTGAGATGAAGCATTCACTCGAACCATCAGTTGTTTTCTCTGCGTTGCGGCTACGCCTTAATTGTTGCGGAAAAGCAATTAGCGACCTTAACAAAAAGGTTATTTAAGATTTTGTCAATTTAACGTTTTTTCTCAATTTTCTCAAAAATTTGGTGCTAAAACTGAAGTAAAGTTTTCAATCGTTTGAATGACTTGCAGGGGTATCCCCTGCATCAGCGAATTCTTCCATTTTTGAAACGGTTCAAAATGTTGACCATTTGTTGGAAATTTGAAGTTTATTCGAAAACGACGCTCTCAAATCTGAGATTGACCGTGCAATCGAAAAAAAAAATTGTAGGATGATCTTTTTCATGAACGGATTCTCCCGACTGCGGTAAAAAAATCAGCTATGGAATGAATAATTGTGCAACATTATGACATTTTGACCTATTTTTGAACTTTGTTTGAAAACATTTGTCAACAGAAAATAACCAATTTTCGTTATGTTGACAGTTTTCTGCAAAGTTTGAGTTTTTAAAGGAAACTACCCCGCCAAATCTAAAAAACAAACGCCAACAATCGAATTTTTTTTTGCTTAGCGGCTACAACTAATTTTCGCGGAAAAACTATTTGGAACCTTAAACAGTCCATTTTAAGATTTTGTCCTTTTGAATTTTTTCTCGACTTTCTTAAACATCTGGGGGAAAATATGATGTAAAACGTTTAATCTTATGAGTATTTTGCTATGGAATTTCCTGCATCAGCTGTAGCATGGACCGTAGCACGAAAACTGCGCTGCTAAATCTGAGATTCAGGGTGTAATCGAAGTTCAAATTGTATAAACAGATTCTCCCAAGTAAACAATCAGCTATGGACTTTAGAAATGTGCAAAATTTTATTATTTTGACAAACTTTCAATATTCGTTCAAAAATTTGACGGCCACAAAAAATGTCCAACTTTCGAAAATTTTTCTGAGTTTTCTTGACAATTAGTCAGCTAAATCTAAGCCTACCTATTTAGTCGAAAAATTGTGCTCCAAAATTTATCTCTATCTAGCGGCTACGCCCAAATAATTTTAGAAAAGCATTGTTCGTTCATTTTTGTAAGTTTTCATTTGCTTTTTTGGTTCAAAAACTCCGCTGACAAACCCGAGATGAAATTTTTAATTTTAAGGAGAAATTGTGGAGGTACCCCCTGCATCAGAATGTTTTCCCAAATCTGGCACAGAATTTATTGTGGACGTTTTGGACTTCTTGCCGACAGTGACAATTCTGAAAATAAGAAGTCAATCAAGTTGAGATTTTTCAATGATCTTCAAGAAGATTCAAGAAGTTTATTTTCCTTATCTTTGATAGGCAATAATCTATGGGTTTCGTAAATGTCTATTTTTTTATAACTTTGTTGCCTTTTAAATATGACGCATTGTCTTTCGAATCTTAAAATTTTCTAGTAAATCAGTATTTAAGCTTATCAGAAAACCAAAAACAACAAACAACCTGTTAACCAAAAATGAAGTATATAGTTACACAACTATGTGAGATTAGGACATAGAATTGTCCAAAATGACACGTTTTTGCCACAAACCTAAACTTGAAACAAAAACGAAAATAAAAAACTTTCGCCACGAAATCCGAGGCTTGAGTACTTTTGTTCTTGCCTAGAATTTTTTATTTTAATTTTCATAATCAGTCAATTATCTATTTGGTTCATTTTTTCAATATTTGTTTCGTTTAGGTCCACGTTTTACATAACTAGCAGAGTCTGCACATAGCTAGCCAATTTCTCTTCATTGTAGAACATTCGTAAATATTTCGCTAGGGTAAGAAATCATGGTCTGAGCCAAGACTCCTCCACTTGGTCCTTGTGCCTCGGAAGCACCTTGGTTTCTAGGCAAGAACTTCGGCTCTGTGTAAAATTTCGTTCACCAAATTTTTTTATGACAAATGCAACCAGCTGGAGTCATCTAAAGTTTTTGTCAATTAGTTCCTCATTTTACATGCCGTTAAAAGCTTCCGATATAGGTTTTTACTTTTCGTGTACGCAACAAACTTGCAACAAAAATTGATAGCTTGAAAAAAAAAGAAAAACTAAAAAACATGTCAAAATTGCGTTGTTGCTAAATATGAGACGAAGTATTAATTTGTATAAATATTTTGTAGGGGTATCCCCTGCCTCGGCCAATATTCTCATTTTTATTTAAGGTAAATATCTGAAAGAAACTTGATCTATTTACCCGTTTTCTGAATTAAAAAACTACAAAAAATTTAAGAACAGCTGGATTTAGAAAGAAAAGTGCAGACTGAATTGTAGCTTTTTGCTGAAAATTATTGGATTCTCGAGAACTGCGTTGCCAAAACTGAGATTCAAGGTGTGCTCGAAGAACAAGTTGTATAAATGGATTCTCCCAAAATGTGCACCATTTGGACATTCTGACCAGTTTTTGAGCTTCAGTCAAAAATTTTACGCCCAAAGATGACGACCAATTTTCGAAATAATTCTTTTTTTTTTTTGGAAAATTTCTGAGTTTTCCTGAACAACTTAGACTACATGTTCACTGGAGACTCTTCAAAAAACGCGTACACTTTTTATGAAGTTTTATGAAGAGGAGTTGCGCTAACAAAAGTGGAAACCAAAAGTGTTTTTCAATCACCAAATTTTAAACTTTTTAATGTCAAATTCATCAATTTGTTGATCATAAGTAGTCATTTTCATACTATTGTAATTTTTAAAACAATCAGGCAGCTCATTTAAGCGAAATTCTTCAGAGACAAAAAAAACAAAAGTAGTGTAAACTCCTAAACAAAAAAAAAACTATAGTCAAGTTATAATCAAAAATTATAATCAATTTTAGCAACCGTGCAACTTAGTGTTTTCTCTCAATAAAAACTGCGACCTGAGCCTTCACAAAAATGTTAGCCAACAAAAGCCATATCTTGAAAATGCACATTGAAACAGGCGCGGATCAGAGTTTTCTCAAGAAGGCGGGTGCGGATCCATGATTTTTTTTTATGAGGGGGGGGGGGGAATTTCAAGAAGTTTTCCAACATTTTGTCGACATTTTTTCAAGTTGGTCAAATTGATTTTCCTAGTACTGCCAAGTCTTTATAAAGACCAGATTTTCGCCAAATTTTTGCTTTTTCCGGCATTTAAGAAAAATTGGAAAACGTTTTTTTTTTCAGGCGTGCGCTCTGCATCAAAGTTGATAACTATTGCGTCAAACAATAGAAAAAGCAAAAGTGTTTTTGAATTAACCAACAATTCTAGATTTTTTAGCGTCAAGATTTATCAAGATGTTTTTCTTAAATAAAATTTTGAATAATTCTAACTCCTATAACAGTCAGGTAGCTCAGCTCTTTTATGCAATAACATTTGAAGAAGAAAAAAGAGATCCCGCCCCCTGCCGACCCAAATGGTCCCACCCCTTTTGTATTATTTTGACATATACATTTTTGGCTGACTGACCTTAAAAATATTTTAAAGGCGCCTTTAGCACCAATCTATGCTAATTTTGAGGGGGGGGGGACTGGGGAACGCGCGTTGAAAAAAAAGCGATTTTTTTGTCGAATTTTCCAAAAAATACATAAAAACGCTATTTTTCCCGTGTTTTGTAAAACTTGCCCGCGGCGCAGAAAATTTGGTCAAAATTGGGTCTTTATAGTGATTTGGGAGAGCTC